TGAAGAAACAGGAAAAAAGTCAGACATTTGGATTAAGTTTTCCATAAAAGGGAAATCATTGCAGAAGATTGTGAATGGCTTAATTCATGAATGTCACATTGCCATGTATTCATAAACATGTTAATGAAATTTTGGTGAAATGAATAAGAAAGATATCAGGAAATCCAATCATAAAATTGTCAAGAAATGAATTAAAATGGGGTTTAACATCCAACTCTTGTGCTCTAACTGGGTTAATGAAGACAGGCCACTAGGAGGAAAATTTCTGTGAAGGGTTCTTTAACGTGCATGAATTTAGGTTAAATGAAATGAATATGAATAATCTTCATATTATATAAATTTCCTCCCCGTCCATGGCTGCATTCAGTCAAAAGTCTTGGTTACGTGAGGATGAATATAGGTAGCACAATAATACTATGCCAAGCTGAATCAGCAGTTTTTTTTATTATTTTCAGGTATATACCCATACCAGCAGATGGTTAGTGATGATGTTAAACAGCAAGCAAGCCAGAACTCAAACATCACACAAACATTAGATATACTGTAGATATACATCACATGACCCTTCAGATACATGTCACATGGCCATCAAAATAAATCACATGACCCAAGAATTATATATCATGTGACCCATGCACTGTACATAAACCTTGAGATATACACTACATGACCCATGATATGTATATCACATGACCCATGAGATGTATATCACATGACCCATGAGATGTATATCACATGACTCATGATATGTATATCAAATTAGCCATGAAATGTATATCACATGACCCATGATATGTATATCACGTGACTCACAAAATATACTGACCCATGAAATATACATCTAACGGCCCATAAAATATACATCCAATGACCCATGAAATATACATCTAACAGCCCATGAAATATACATCTAATGACCCATGAAATATACATCTAATGACCCATGAAATATACATCTAATGGCCCATGAAATATACATCCAACGGCCCATGAAATATACATTAAATGATCAATTAATTATAAGTAACAGAACCCATGAAACATGAATCACATAGTCCATAAACATACTGAAATACCATCAACATATCATATTTATATTTTAGTTCCAAAATATTTGGAAATGAATAATATACATCTTAATTAATCAAGAGAAATATAGTTTTAATCGAATAGGTTTAATATACCATACAGGTGACTGTCAGTAGGTCCAGGTTCAATAATAATATAATATTGCAGAGCTGTATATAGCTTGTTTATGATATTAGACTATCTACAAATGATGTACTCTGAATCAAACAGGTCTCATAAAATAATTATTATTACTTTATTTGATTAAGAGAGATATAAATGGCAGTGTAAAATCAATAGAAAGCAATGTAAACTTAACACCAGTCTGTCGACACAAATTTTTTATTTGGGACTGCAAGCGTAGCGTTTCAAATGGGGTTCGTACCAAGTATTTGAAATTACTAATAAGGGGGGGGGGGGGCATTGAGCTGCTAAAATGACCATAACTTAAATTAGACTTGATCGAGATGAATAATTTTTGAACTGAATTTTTTTTTTCCTGAAAAGAATATTTTTGATTGTGTATGATATTAAACTTTATATTTAACCTTTAGTCAGGCATGTTATTATTTATTTGTCCACCCTCAGCTAATAAATTTGCAATTAAAAATACATCTAGTATATTTTTATTCTCCTTTTGACAATTACGCTAAACCAGTCCATTGTCTATAACCACGAGGTGAGTCAAAAATCAGAGGAAAAAAAAAAGAATGGAGTTCAATATCTGATCAACACAATACTTCAGTCATTTTTTACTTAATTACTTTTTTTTTCTATGTTCATACTGTGCAATGCTAGGGAGGAGAATTTTGCCTGGACAGCAGCATACTTGCTTACTCTTCATCAAATTCCAACTATCAAGGGTTCCTTTACATGCACGTCAATGTTTTTCATCCTATCTGTTATCATCCCTACAGACGCAAACTACCACAAGTGGAAACTGGGCTTAAAAACAACCTAGTCAGAAAAATTCTAAAGCTTAAGTAAAAAAAAAAGATTACATCTCGATACGCCCAATACACAGAGATTACATAAAGTTATTATAATTCAAGGTCAATAGAGCAGTATACCTAATGTGTTCTCCGACTCCGCAAAAAATTTACGTCTTCTACGAGATAAAATTTAATACAAAATATATAACTATCCAACATTAATCCAAATTTCCAGAGGAGACTGGAGTCTTAAGAATCAGAATCATTCTCCCCATTAGGGAATCTTTTAAATTAATCAGATATTTTTTATTCATATTTTATTTATTTTTTTAATATAAATAAGTTCTCACTTTATCCCACAATTTGTGATTTTTAATATTCAAAAATATAGGTTTGATTCCACGCTTTTTAAAGTGTCACAGTCAAAAGGTTCAGTTGCAAAAAAAAAAAACGTTCGGAAACCAATAATCTAATAAACTGTACAAATTTAGAGAATATCAGTTATTTTTTATTTAATTTTTTAAATAATAATAAGTTCTTACTTTATCCCACAATTTGTGATTTTTAATAGTCAAAAATATAGGTTTGAGTTCCACGCTTTTTAAAATTAAGGTCCAGCGGCAAAAAAAAAGAAAAAAGTTTGGAAACTACTGATCCAATACAAGAGAATATACACAGTATATGTTTAGCATAAAACTAGTATCATTATAAACAGAGAGACAGTATATTCAACAAAATATTTTACAATATTTAAAACTTTACAAATATATTTAACTCTTTAACATTTATATACAGAAAATAAAATTGTAGTTGATTTATTTACAAGAATCAAATCTTAACAATTTATTTAATTTATGAAAAATATTTTTCTCTAGGAGTATACAGGAAGGGTGAAAGAAGCACCGTGTTATTTTAATATGATCAACACTCTTTCATTTATAATAATTCCACTTCCAGATTTTGTCAATCAGACAATTCTGACGTATTTTGTTGATCTCAGATTAGCAAGCTATTTCTTGTTTTGCCATAGAATATAATTTTTAGTATTATCCAAGTTTTTAAAATATAATTTTTAGTATTATTCCAATTTTTAAAATATATTTTTTTTAATGTTTTTACAGTATTTATTGTATTTTTAGGTTAAAATCTTTGAAATCTAATTTTTAGCATTATTCCAATTTTTAAAATATATCTAAAGTGTTTTTGATTCTTTGGGTTATTTATTTTTGTGGCATGTAAACTGACTGACCGGTAACTTCTCCAATTGGTCAATTTTACTGACAGTCAATTTCATTAACAGTCAATTTCACGGACAGTCAATTTCACTGACAGTCAATTTCATTAACGGTCAATTTCACTTACAGTCAATTTCACTGACAGTATTTTACTGACAGTCAATTTCATTAACAGTCAATTTCACTTACAGTCAATTTCACTGACCATGAAATCAGAGCGCTGTTAAATATCAACCTTACAAAGAAATACAAATGGCTATCCATGCTTTATCTCCCTTCATTTATAATCCCAGATATTTTGGGTATTTTAATACGTTTTTTTAACTCAATTCTCCCAAACATTATAAACGTTTCATTGCAAACTATTTCTATCATTTTAAATTTTCCCTCATTCCTTTTTTCCAGGTAACTTAATTCCATCAGCCTATCATCACCTGTTCAAACTGTGGGCTAAGCTGGTAAAACTATATCTGTAAATTGTGCATAATCAAATTATTATGGTGCAAGTTTTTTCATGTTGGAAACAATATCAAATTTTCTCCATATCTTAATCCATGCTAAACTGTACTCAAATTAATTATTTAACATTTAATTAATAAAACAAAATCACGATATTAACGGTAGATTAAAAAGAGGTCCATCAAAAGATTTATGAGAAAACATAGGTGGTGCTGGCTTGTTTATGTCGTCTGCAGTGGGTGCCTGAATGTTGACAAATTTTTAATTCGTCGTATCTTTATAAATACTGAACAGAATTAAACCATTTTTGAACCGATATTCTTTTTTCGAGATGCAACTTTCAAAATATTGTGGTTTGTAAGATATTAACAATCCTTCAAAAGACCATCTGATTAAAATACAGGTCTACATTTTGTTTGTTTCGTCTTTTTTTATACTTTCAATGGCCTCTACTACCTGAAGATCTGACCAGTTGAAGTGGTAGGTTGCGTCAGAGGTCATACAACCCTCTGACTTCAGACATTTAATTAACCGATCAGCGTTGATGGGTTAGTGGGTTCCGTGCACGTCACACCAAAAAACTCGTCATAACAGACCGCTTCATTAGCTAATCTTTCACATCATCCAGAATGTGGGTTATATAATAACTCTTCCAGATCCTGATGTAGTAAAGATAAGTAAAATGAAATTTTGAATTATAAAAAACAAAACGAAATAGGATCTGTGTTTTAATCAGATTGAGCCAATGATAATCAGAGATTCTAAATTTTAATGGTGTAAAGTTTTTCAAGCCAGTTCACTGATACATGCTTTCAATGGTGAAAGTTTTTCAAGTCAATGCACTGATACATGCTTTCAATGGTGCAAATCTTTCAAATTAATGAATGTGCTGGGCTGAAAAAAAGGATTTTAGACCCTTGCCTAATTTAAGTCATATTGACGTCTTTATAGCACAGATAATTTTATAATTATCACGGTCTATTAAAATCCATTATATATACAAATAAAGTAAAACACCATTACAAAACCAACAACTTACAACTGGACTTAACGTATCAGTTCAAATTCATTAAAAGTCACTTATTATAATTGTTATATCTTTTTAAACAATCAACATAATGGTTGCTTAAAGTTCACATATTTGAGGTTTATTTTAATTTATTAATTAAGGTCAAACCAAAATTGTTATATCTTCTTAAACAATCAACATAATGGTTACTTAATGTTCGCATATTTAAGGTGTATTGTAATTTATTAATTAAGGCCAATCCACAATTATTTTTTTTAATTCTTTGAATCTTGATAGACTTGGTGATATCAGTCCTCTGAACAACGTTGTCTTTAAAATTAAAAAAAATCTCAACTTAAAGGCAGCTTCTTAGAAGAGCAACTAAATAATTTTGTTTTAAATTTTTTTTCACCAAAGGAATAGGTAGCAAAATTTTAATCGGTGCTCCCTTAGAATAAAAACTCAAATCGGTGTCGGATAAATTACATGATAAATGTAAAAGTATTCTACAAAAAAGTTTAAAGGTTTGGGGTATTAAAAATGTTAATAATTCTGCAGATCTCATGCGTTCAACAGGCCAGCAAAGCCAAACCGAGCTAGCAATATCTAAGGTTACAACTTCTAACAGGAACTGTCATAAACAGGGGGATTCTGGGTAAACAATAACTCAGGGCTAGCCTTTCGCACATCTCCATGACAACAGGTCTTGGCGCTATAGAGCTGTATTTCAGATATAAAAATAGTATCAATTTAATCTGTAATGTTGTTTCAGCTAATTTTGCTCCATTTTTTAAAGGATGCCACTTCTCGGACAGGTACATTACAAGTGTGAGCCTTCAGACGTAAATTCCTATCATCTGTTAATAACACAACATCCCGATACAGTCGAACTGGGGCATCTGAAAAATAACAGATGACACTCATTAAGGTTAGACCTAGCCCTGAAAAATAACAGATGACACTCATTAAGGTTAGACCTAACCCTGAAAAATAACAGATGACACTCATTAAGGTTAGACCTAATCCTGAAAAATAACAGATGACACTCATTAAGGTTAGACCTAACCCTGAAAAATAACAGATGACACCCAACAAGGTTAGATCTAATCCTGAAAAATAACAGATGACACTCATTAAGGTTAGACCTAATCCTGAAAAATAACAGATGACACTCAACAAGGTTAGACTTAACCCTGAAAAATAACAGATGACACTCAACAAGGTTAGACCTAATCCTGAAAAATAACAGATGACACTCATTAAGGTTAGATCTAATCCTGGAGTCTAAAATAACTAAACATAACTCAATCATGTTCAAACTTCACTAAAATACTTATTCAATCAAAAATACATATTTCTGCAAAAATATGCAAATTACCTAATTTGTATAATTTATGCAGAAGGATCGAATTACTGAAAAATAGAACTTTTCAAATGCAGATTATCGGTACTCATATGGTGATTACACTATCCGTCTCTAGTTTTAGAGTACAATGGTGCTAAAGTTTTGAGCCAATTCTTTTTTTTTTTTAATGAACAAAGTATGTTAGAGAAGTTTAAACATGATTGAGTTATTTTTAGCTATCTTATTAAACACCAGGGTTAGGTCTAATCTTAATTACTTGCACATTTATCATTTTTATAAAGAATCTATTAATCAAATTGATAACCACTCTGTATAACCCGAGTACCGGTAGAATGATTAGTAATGAATCTATACACCAAGTTTAATCACTCTCACTCAATTAGAACTACAGTTATCTTGTTCCAAAGCATTGACAAATATAATTGTTTATCTCATTTGAGCATAAGAAATTAAACTAATATCTCAAAGTCTGTCTTTGTCGTACATGTTGAAGATGCATTATGTAAGAGCTAAATCTGTCTATTGCTGGTCTTTCTTTTGGCTTCAAATGTTATATAAATTATTAATTAGAGATTTATTAACATCCCATAATCATTTTGAACGGATTGAAAAACGATTGCCATTTAATAATCTAATTAAATAATGGATAATCAAAAAAAAAATTCATAGTATCATTGTTACTTGACAATCAAGACTATATCTTGAAATCTTCAACCACGAATAACTCTCTATATATATTTTTCTTACATTATCTATTTTTGAACTATTATAGCAAGAACAGACAGCTCTATAAGTATACATTACGCAAGAGCTAAATCTGTCTATTGCACGTCTTTCTTTAGGCCTGAAATGTTATCTAAATTATTAATTAGACATTAATTAACCTATCCAGACCATAATCAACTCTCGATGTCATCGCTAGCCTGCAATATTTACTGGATTAGGATGCCATCTGCTGCCCAACTCTCATTAATGATTAAATCAAGAAATGGATAATCGAAACTATGCTTTTTATTGTACCGAATTTAGTAATGATGATCGAGGCTAGGCCCAAAATTCAATCGCTAAATTCTTGGTTTAGAGTGGATCAATTTGACTGAAATTTTTAGTAAATTCCCTTTACACTATCTAGTTTTTAACTATCAGAATCAAAACTGCCAGCTTGTTATCTAATCTCCCAAAATGCATCTTTAATTTTACATACTGCATCTTTAATAAATTACCATAGATGTATTAATGAACTTGTGTTTAGAGTTTATTAGTGTAACAATAGCTGTGTATTAATAAACTTACCTTTTTCTTTGGGCATAAAATCTCTGGCTTTATCTTTACAATAATGTAAACAACAAGATAAAATCAGATCGTCATTCGTTCCCTAGAAATAAACATAATAACATTTACCTCAAAGTCATAGACCACAGAAATAGACATAATAACATAATGACCTCAACAAATAGACATAATATAATTACTTTCAAGTTACAGATCACTGAAATTGAGATAATAACAAGAACTTACATGTTATAGACCACAGAAATAGACATAATAAAAAGTATTTGCATGTTATACACCACAGAAATAGTTATAATAACAAGTACTTGCATGTTATATAGACATAACATCAAGTACAAGTACTTGCAAGTTATAGACCACAGAAATAGATATACATCTGCTAATATAATAATTATGGTACAATTGTGATAATTAATTATTACTTACGGTTGTATCAATTTCTTCACTTCTGAAAGCAATTGTCTCTAGGATCGAGCCTTTGGATGTTTGAGCTCGGAGATGTGAGTTTTTACGTTGAAATTGTGATTCAAGATATTGTACTGCTGTAGTGGCATGTTGTTGCACCATGGAGGAGTGTTCACGAGAGTCATGCTGGCTTTCCCGACCTCCTTTAGCTAATCCATCTAATTCATTTATTACTGTTAATATAAATAAAACACAGATCAGTCCCATCCGAATGACTAGACAGCTGTCCATGTCAGACCATCCATCCTGCATCACTGACAAGGGGGAACCAGGCCGGAAAAATTGGATGATCTTTCTCAGTCAACCTCCAGGCTAGCGAGCCAGCATCTTACCAATTTAGCCACTGTGACCCCCCAGACAGTTGCTATGAAGTAACCCCATTGGCTAATAACAACACTATTATTGTATGAGTCTTGATTATCTTTGTAGATTCCATGGACATATCCTTTTCTTATGTACAGTAATTAAGCCAAATAATTTTTTTCAATTATATTCTAATATTTTAAGACTAATATATAACTTACCAACAAGGGGGATAACTAGGGTATATTTTTTACTCTCTAATATAGAGATGAGAGGGTTAAAATGGTCAATAAAACAATTTGTGTCCGGCACAAGGAATCGTGGATGTATCTCTAATTCTATCTTTTTATGGCGATCTTTATCCAGCAATGCCTGGAATATAAAACAAAATAAATATCATTCTGGGATTAACATATGGTTTATCTTCAGGTATGTTCAATTGTTACTCCAGAACATTCCACATGGATGGGATTGTAATCGCGTGATACAGAATTGCATATGTGGTATATCATTATGTCATGCATTCCCATATATGGTATATCTTTATGTCATGCATTCCCATACATGGTATATGTTCATGTCTTGCATACCCATAGTATATCTTTATGTCATTCATTTATGCCATATATGGTACATCCTTATGTCATGCATTCCCATATATGGTATATCTTTATGTCATGCATTCCCATATATGGTACATCATTATGTCATGCATTCATGCCATATATGGTATATCTTTATGTCATGCATTACTGCCATATATGGTAAATCTTTATGTCATGCATTCCCATCGAGTGATACAGATCTAGAATTGACAGAATTTGCACATATAATATACCTTTAAGTCATGTATTCCCATGGTATATCTTTATGTCAGGTATTCCCTTATATGATATATCATTATGTCATTCATTCCTGCCATATATGATATGTCATACTGGGATCTTTAGCAGTAAATCTATAAGGTGAGGCAGGTGACGCAATCCATGGTTTCCGTTCATTTAAATACACAGCAACATCGATCACCTCCAACAATGCCCATCCTTATCATCCTTCATTAACCTCATTAACGATATATTTATTTAGATGTTATGTTAAGAAAAATAAATAATACCAACCTCGACATTTTCTTTATGTTGAGATCGTTCTTTCACTTTACGTTTCAGATGTTCTCGTTTAGCTTTTAAATGGCGGACGTGATCTTCATCACCACTCACGTTTTCTGTTTCTTCTTCACTTTCAATAATAACATCTTCTGACTATAAGATTAATTTATAGGTCAATAATAACATCTTCTGACTATAACAGCCCTGAAGTCCACAGAGCATAGTCTAATAGACGAAGGAACAGGTAAATTAATATTATCTCCACACAAGATGATTTCAATAATCCAGGTAGTATTATTGTCTCATCCAAAGCATTCATCAAAAGGCAAATTTTTACTGGATGTGCCAATTAGACAATGTGATTCTGTGTCAATTTTTAAATCAAAAGTGACTATCTTAAGTCATCATCATTAACAATTAAAAATGAGATTATTTTCTGTTGCCAAGACTATTTCCTAGTGGATTGAGTTGTGAGAGAGAAGGAGAGAAATGGTGTTTAATGTCCACTCGACACAAACTAGGTCATTTTGGGACTAACATATGGTTCAATTTTATTTCAATAATTCGCTTGGGCGTAAGGGTCTTTAGCAGTGTGAGGAAAGCTGAGGACCCGGAGAATACCCATGAGGTTGGACAAGCAACCATACTCCCTGTCACGTACATCCGAAGAATCAAAACCATGCCAGTTGACTCCTTATGCTAACCATTCGGCCATCCAACCCCCCAGATTAAATTGTTGCTCAATACAAATATTGTTATTGTTATTATAATTACCGCTGAATCAGGACATTCATCATCAGCTTGCTCATTCTCTGATCTGTTAACAGGGGCTACTGAGTAATACTGTTTAGTTTCTACATTATAAGCCAACATCGGTGGTTCGATACCACATAAATAATCACTGAATAAACCCAACTTCTCCAATCTCATACTGTCTCTTGCTATTTCCTACAAAATATCATAATTATATCATTATTATTATTATTAAGAAATTTTAAAAAGCACAATTTCCATGAAGTGTGCTCAACGGCACTTTACAATAAACAAATGTCCACAACAAAAAGATCACATGTCCAAAATAAAAAGATCACATGTTCAAAGTAAAAAGATCACATGATGAAAATAAAATGATCACATGTTCAAAATAAAATACAGGAGCATTCGATCGAGTGTTTCCTGGCCCCGAGTTCACAAAGCATTCTCAGACTTAATTTAAGAATTTACTCAACTTTCGATCACTGTTTATGAGAAATATCTTTAATCCAGAAACACAAAACTTTGCACATAGTTTCTTATTGATGTATTTGATACATTAAAACAATAATAGTTTTATAATGGGCTATATTTTAGTTAAAATAAGGTGATCAATTTTGAGTAAATTCTTAACTTAAGTACGAGAATGCTTTGTGAACTCGGGGCAAGTATTTTTTGATTTCTTGTTTGTTTACTCACCTTATCAACAGTAGAATGTACAAAACAACTTTCTACAGGAGCACCAAGCATAGGAACAAAACCTGCCATTAGATTATCTTCACTCAATATTATAGGGTCACAGTTTTCCTTGCGATGTCGATATAATTTAATATGCGACGTGTCGACATCTTTTAATATATTACATAAATCAGCAGTACATTTCCATGGATCAATCTGAGGTCTGAAAAATAAAATATTATTCTATCTTCAAATAATTTCACCTTACAGTTTGGGGCTGACTTAATTTCTTTATTGTGATTAGCTGATGAATTGCTCCAATATCGCATGTTTTAACAGCTGCACCAAGTGGTAAGTTTTAACAGACGATCCTACATGTAGTGGCATGTTTTAACAGCTGCACCCAGTGGTAAGTTTCAACAGACGAACCTACATGTAGTGGCATGTTTTAACAGATGCTCCTAGTGGCACGTTTTAACAGATAAACCCAATGGCAAGTTTTAACAGATGATCCCAGTGGCAAGTTTTAACAGATGCACCCAGTGGCAAGTTTTAACAGATGAACCCAGTGACAAGTTTTAACAGATGATCCCAATGGCAAGTTTTAACAGATGAACCCACTGACAAGTTTTAACAGATGAACCCAGTGGCAAGTTTTAACAGATGCGCCCAGTGGCAAGTTTTAACAGATGAACCCAGTGACAAGTTTTAACAGATGATCCCAATGGCAAGTTTTAACAGATGAACCCACTGACAAGTTTTAACAGATGAACCCAGTGGCAAGTTTTAACAGATGCGCCCAGTGACAAGTTTAACAGATGAACCCAGTGGCAAGTTTTAACAGACGAACCCAATGGCACGTTTTAACAGACGAACCCAGTGACAAGTTTTAATATATGTGCCCAGTAACAAATTTTAACAGATGAACCGAGTGACAAGTTTCAACAGATGAACCCAGTGGCAAGTTTTAACAGATGAACCCAGTAGCACATGTTAAACAGATGTTCTTTAAAGGTCTACTCTGTCTCAAAACATAAATATAGTATAAACAAACCCTATATCAGGTGGACGAGGCATTGGAGTGGGATTCCACAAACCAGCATGACACATCATCCAGTCAGTCCAAACTTTGACCCCAGCGGTCAACTGATGTAAATCTTCATTCATAAGTGCGGCAGGATAGTCTGGTGAGTGGAGGTGAGAGGTCATAAGTTCAGCACATCTAGCACACAATAAACCAAACATATCAAGGCCCATCTGTACAGAATAATCTTGTAAAAGAGAACGACAACTATCTTCTAATGATTCATCTGTAATAGAGAGAAAATTTCATTAAGAGAGAGAGAGAGAGAGAGAGAGAGAGAGAGAGAGAGAGAGTTTAACGGCCACTCGACACAAACTAAGTCATTTCGGGACCCGACATGTGGTTCAATTTTATTTCAATAATTCGCTTGTGCGTAGGGGTCTTTAGCAGTGGGAGAAAACCACGATGTTGGGCAGGCGATGCTACTCCTTGTTGTCACGTACAACCGGGGAATCGAAACCAAGCCAGTTGACTCAATGACAGACCGTATGGTACGTGCTAACGATTCGGCCATTCACACACACACCCCTCGAAAATGTCATTAAACATATATTATGCAAGAGCTAAATCTGCCTATTGCAGGTCTTTCTTTAGGACTGAAATGTTATCTAAACTATTAATTAGACATTATATTTACCTTTAAGTGCTGTATTTTCTATAGCGAACATATTAATAGCCATGAGTTGTAATAATCTGTGACTACTGATGACACACGGAGAATGTTGTAATAATACACTGAATTCTTGTAACATTTGTCCACAACTCTCCGCAAATAATTCCATCCTATAATAATAAACATGACAAATTCCATTCAGTATTAACAGAGTTATGACCAATCTGATTAAAATACAGATCTATATTTCGTTCCGTTTTTTTATACTTCCGATGGCCTACACTACATGGAGATCTGACCAGTTGTAATAGGAGGTCGCGTCAGGGGTCGTAAGAGCAGCTTTTGACCCTATGGGGTCAGACATTGATTAATCAATCAGTGTAGATATTTCTATTGGTTTACCCAAAGTTCTATGCAGAGCACGCCAAGAAATCGCCGTAACAGACCGTTTCATTGGCTAATTCTTCACTTCAACAAAAACGCCGGTAATATAACAACTCTTCCAGATCCTAGTGTTGTAAAGACAAGTAAAACAAAATTTTGAACTAAAAAACGAAAGGATCTGTGTTTTAATCAGATTGAGATATGACAAATTGAAATTACATTGATTTATATTGCTGCTCCCTATCTAACAAGACGGCTGCCATCTTTATTTACTGTGAACCCAATTGATGGGCCTCCTTTAAATCTGATTTGATACAACCCAGGAGATTATCTACTGTTGGTATTATGATTTTGTTTTCTTAATTAGTGTTAAATAATCAATCTGAGTACATACTAGCGTGGATTAAGCAGTGAGAAATTTGATATTTTCCAAAAAATACAAATCCAAATCGTTACTTTAATGGTCATTACAATGCCTTAAATAGTAACTCGTTCTCCAAGTATGATTAACAAATGTTGAAATATTTACCCTATTTTTGTAAACAGCTTCCCGTGAACAGTCAAAAAACTTAAAACAAATCGTTTATTTAACTGCAAAAAGATAAAAATAAAATTACATTTTAAACACTATATTGATGAAAACATCTTTTGTGGGCTGGTGGTGGGGGGGGGGGGGAACTATATAAATAAATTACCTTACAGACCAACCAAATGCAGAAGGCTGTCAATTTTATTTCAAATTTTCGCTAGCACGTAGGGGTCTTAAGAAGTGGGAGGAAACCGAAGGACCCAGAGAAAACCCACGAGGTTGGACAAGCAACCATACTTCTTGTCACGTACAACCGGGGAATCGAAACCACACCAGGTGACTCAATGACAGACCTTATGATACAGCGCGCACATGCTAACCGTGAAGGCTGTAGACCAACAATGATAGTCTGTATATAACAGGCCATTGCAAAATTCGGCATCTTTTGTTGATATAAAAAATACAGGATCTGTTTGAATCCATGCCGGTAGATCATCTACGATTGATATTTTAGTTCTGTTTTCGTCAGTTTGGATTAAATTATATGGTTTGACAAATGAACAATTGGGATAGTAACATAAACTATAACGAAATGATGCAGTATGTAACATAAAATATAATGAAATGATGCAGTATGTAACAAAGTATAATGAAATGATGCAGTATGTAACATAAAGTATAATGAAATGATGCAATATGTAAACATAAATGATAATGAAATGATGCATTATGTAACATAAATGATAATGAAATGATGCAATATGTAAACATAAATGATAATGAAATGATGCAGTATGTAACATAAATGATAATGAAATGATGCATTATGTAACATAAATGATAATGAAATGATGCAGTATGTAACATAAATGATAATGAAATGATGCATTATGTAACATAAATGATAATGAAATGATGCAGTATGTAACATAAATGATACTGAAATGATGCATTATGTAACATAAATGATAATGAAATGATGCATTATGTAACATAAATGATAATGAAATGATGCAGTATGTAACATAAATGATAATGAAATGATGCAGTATGTAACATAAATGATAATGAAATGATGCATTATGTAACATAAATGATAAAGAAATGATGCATTATGTAACATAAATGATAATGAAATGATGTATTATGTAAGATAGATGTAGATACCTCAATACCAGAGAGTTGCGATAAATCTTCTTCAGGTGTCTCAGAATCCATATTCTCAGTACTGCTGCCATCTGGTGATACCCAGATCTCAATACGATGTTTCGTCGTTCGCTGACGTTGTTCATTTTTTTTACGTCTCAAATCTTTTTCCTCTTCTTTCTTCTTTTCTACCAACTCTGACTGCAAAATATTTACAAATACTAAAGTTATTTTGGGGAAAATTGTCCTGAGTCAGGATTGATTCAACAACTGTGTATGTAAACTGCTGACAGCCTTACTACAAATGAAATGAAAGGGGGTTAATGTCCTTCTTTTCTGCTCCAACGAGAGAGAGAGAGTGAGAAACAGAGAAATGGGGTTGAATGCCCACTAGATCCAAACTAGGCCATTTCTGGTTCAATTTTATTTCAATGATTTGCTTGTGTGTAGGGGTCTTTTAGCAGTGGGAGGAAACTGGAGGACCCAGAGAAAAAACTACTCCTTGTTATGTTTAACCTGGGAATCGAAACCACGACAGTTGACGCAATGACAGACTTTATGATACAACACACATGCTGCTCCAACCAGACTAAAGAAGACGGGCATATAGATGCAATACAGTAAATGAAGTAACTTTTGCCCAGAAAGCAACTGTCAAGGGTTCTTTTACATAAATGCCAAGGTATACACACGACCGTGGTTTTTCTGTGCCATCCGAACAACTAGATGTTGTTTCTGCAAGGCTGTATGAGGAACTTTCTCTGCCAACATAGTGCAATACGAAAGAGAGAGAGAAATGGAGTTTAACGTCCACTCGACACAAACTAGCTCATTTTGGGACTAACATATGGTTCAATTTTATTTTATTAATTTGCAAGGATCTTTAGCAGTGGGAGGAAACCAGACGACCCGAGAAAACCCATGAGAATGGACAGGTGACCCTACTCCTTGTCACGTACAAGCTGGGAATTGAAACCATGCCACTTAACTCAATGACAGATCTTTTTATGCAACGCTCCGCCACCCAACTCCCCTACTCTTAGTATGTGCAAAAGCACCCAATTTTAGTTGGTAATTGTGAACTTTATCTTACCTTTTTCCTAGCCTCATCAAATAATGACATCAAACTTTCTCTAGCTGTGATAAAAGGATTACTTGCTGCCAAACTTCTCATATAATAATAAACAGCATCTAATTTACGTCTCTGTAGAAATCATAAATAAAAATCATAAATAAATACTCTAAACATTGGATATTTTTAAATCAAAGTTGATGCAATATCATTTCACGTTGTGCATGGTTGTATTCAAATTATACCCACATAGTGAATAAAACATAAAGAGCTGTTTTCTCCTTTAAAAGAAGCCAGTAAAAGTTTAGTTCTTCTATAATTTACGTGTCTATAGAAATCATAAATAAAAATCACAAATAAATACGCTTAACATTCGATATCTTTAAATCCATGGCGCATGGTTAAATTCAAATTAACCCAAATAGTGAATAAAACATAGAAAGTTGAGTTCTCCTTTAAACGAAACCAGTATGAGTTGAGTTTTCCTTTAAAAGAGACCAGTATGAATCAAGTTCTCCTATAAACTAACATTTCAGGTTATGCTAACCTGAATGAACAAAACATTAGAAAAACTGCAAAAGTTGAGTTTTCCTTTAAAAGAAAACAGTATGAATCGAGTTCTCCTATAAATTAGCATTTCAGGTTGTGCATGGGTTAAATTTAAAATGAATGAATAAATCATTAGAAAAACTGCAAGAGTTGAGTTCTCCCTTCAAAAATAAACATAATCATCATACCGTGTAAAGGGCTAATATTGCTAACTGATTATATGGACGGCCATTTTTTGGTGCCAACTGCTGAGCTTTCATATACCAACTGGAAAATATAAAAATATTTGAATGCATTAAAACCCTATTGATAAATCTTCTGTTATTTTGATTCAGGAGCCACATGAACTCAAATGGTACATCAAATTTTATATTAAAAAATATCAAGATAAAGAAAATGTTATTGATTTATTTGACTAATATCGTTACATATTATACATAATGATCTCTTTTATTACATCTATGACATACAGTCAGGGCTGTAACTAGCTCAGAGCAACGAGGGGACAGGAAGTGTTCTCAGGGGTGCTGTAAAATTGACGGACAATGTATATCTATGGTCGACAATTATTTCACAGGGGGGCGAAAATTTTTGCAGGGGGGGCTTGACATGTGCCGCCCGGACTGTACCTCTCCACTTTCTGTTAGCTATGCGACTGATAGCAGCACTGATATCAATACAAACCTTCTAGCTCGACCATAATTAGTTGTTTCATTGGCTTGTTCTCGATATCGTGATATATCACCAAGACATATGATTAACTTCTGTGCAATAACCAGACAAAGTTTAACTGTTCTGTTTACGTTATCAGGAGGAGGCTGGTTGGCATCCAGAAATGTTTCCAGATCAAAATTATACACAGCCTGCATTCTCTTTACTAAGCCTTCAAAAAAATCTGTGCCCTAAAAATAAAAACGAACACAAAATGAATGTAGTACATAAAATCTTTGACTACCCATGTTTTCGAAACTGCCTGAAACGCCTGCTCCAATGACCACTTCAAACCGCACACAACTAATATACGGTCACTAGATAATTCACAGCTATTCCTCTGTGAAACAAAATCAAGTATCAATGAATGAAAGGGGGTTTAACATCTGACTGGGCTAATGAAGACGGGCATATGCCACACAGTGTGTTAAGAGGGAAATTTTGCTCGGATAGCGGCACTACCGCCTACTCTTGTATCAAATTCCCACTGCCAAGGGATCTTTTACGTGCATACCACAAATTTTGCTCGGATAGCAGCACTACGGACTACTCTTGTATCAAATTCCCACTGCCAAGGGATCTTTTACGTGCATGTCACAATGTGTACACGATACCTCGGTTTTTCATCCCACCCAAACGACCATAGGTTGTCCCTTGTCAGGCCATCTATCCTGCACCACTGAAAAGGGGGAATTACGCTGGAAAATCCTGATGAACTTTCTTGGCCAATGCAGGGATCGAACACGGGACCTCCAGGTTAGCAAGCCAGCATCTTACTCACTGAGCCACCGTGGCTCCCAAAACCAAGTATCAATTATATAGGTAAGGGTTGTCTACAGTCTAGCCATATTACTGCATCACATATTCCTGAAGCAATGGCCCGAGAAATCCCTCTCTGGCCATTGCTGGATTGACTTCTGATACTTGGGTTTTTGAGGGAGTGTGTCTATTCTTCCCATTCAATCAAATCTATCCCATGTACAGAAACATGACAGTTCTTTGTTTAATCTGGGATCTTTTCTAAAATTTTGGACAGTGATTTAAGGTATTAAAAACAGTGAAAGGATTGTTCGTCTGTAAACAGTATTGTTTACATTATAGCCATTTGTCACGGAATTAGTTTTTCTGCAACATTCTGTTATGCACTGGTTAATTGGGTATTATAAATATCGTGAGTCGTGACGTAACATTATGTAAACATATTTGGTCCAATTTGGAGCTCTGTTTAAAGCCGAATAATATTAGTATGCAGTCAGGTATTGTTTGTTACTAATCAGACAATTGACCAGTCATAATTTAGAACAGAAATTTGCTTCCATTACAGCAGTGTTAAGTGGGATTAGGTCTAATTAAACGAAACACTGCTAGGAGTATGCTGCATCAGGGCATGACGACTTAACAGTTATCACTCATGATCTTGTTTCTAAACATCAACAAAATACATGGTTAAACCCAATCTGATTAGAATACAGATCTATATTTTGTTTCCTTTTTTATACTTTCAATGGCCTACACTGCATGAAGATCTGATAAGTTGTAGCGAGAAGTTGTGTCAGGGGTCATACGAGTGGCTTTTGACCCTATGATGTCAGACATTTAATTAATGTCTAGAGGGTTACCCACAGTACCTCACACCAAAAACTCGCCGTAACAAACAGATTCATTGGCTAATCCCTCACATCATCCCGAAGTCGCCGTAACAGATGGGTTCATTGGCTAATACCTCACGTCATCTAGAACGCAGATTATATAACAACTCTTCCAGATCCTAGTGTAGTAAAGACATGTAAATCAAAATTTTAAACTATAAAAAATGAAACGAACAGGATCTGTGTCTTAATCAGATTTGGTTAAACTTACCTCCAGTAGTATTTGTAATATATCAACATGGTAAGCTTACCTCCTGTAGTATTTGTAATACATCAGCATGGTTAAATTTACCTCCTGTAGTATTTGTTATACATCAGGCCCCGAGTTCAAAAAGCATTCTTAGACTTAAGTTAAGAATTTACTCAACTTTCAATCACTGTCTATGAGAAATATCTTTGATCCAGAAACACAAAACTTTGCACATAGTTCCTTATTGATGTATTTGATACATTAAAACAACAAACGTTTTAAAAAGGACTATATTTTAGCTAAAATAAGGCAAACAATTTTGAGTAAATTCTTAACTTAAGTCTGAGAATGCTTTGTGAACCAGTGCCCAGCATGGTTAAACTTACCTCCTGTAGTATTTGTAATACGTCAGAATGGTTAAACTTACCTCCTGTAGTATTTGTTATACATCAGAATGTTTAAACTTACCTCCTGTAGTATTTGTAATACATCAGAATGGTTAAACTTACCTCCTGTAGTATTTGTAATACATCAGCATGGTTAAACTTACCTCCTGTAGTATTTGTAATACATCAGAATGGTTAAACTTACCTCCTGTAGTATTTGTAATACATCAGAATGGTTAAACTTACCTCCTGTAGTATTTGTAATACATCAGAATGGTTAAACTTACCTCCTGTAGTATTTGTTATACATCAGATTGGGTTAAACTTACCTCCTGTAGTATTTGTAATACATCAGAATGGTTAAACTTACCTCCTGTAGTATTTGTAATACATCAAAATGGTTAAACTTACCTCCTGTAGTATTTGTAATACATCAGAATGGTTAAACTTACCTCCTGTAGTATTTGTAATACATCAGAATGGTTAAACTTACCTCCTGTAGTATTTGTTATACATCAGATTGGGTTAAACTTACCTCCTGTAGTATTTGTAATACATCAGAATGGTTAAACTTACCTCCTGTAGTATTTGTAATACATCAGAATGGTTAAACTTACCTCCTGTAGTATTTGTAATACATCAGAATGGTTAAACTTACCTCTTGTAGTATTTGTAATACATCAGAATGGTTAAACTTACCTCCTGTAGTATTTGTAATAATTGAGCTTTAGTATGATCATCAGATTCTTCTACCAGGTTTTTACGGAAAACTTCAATAACTTGATAATATGCTGATTTCCATAGTAACTGTTCTATACTGTGTTTATTAGCCAATGGCGGGTCCAGTAACAAAACTTGTTGTAATCTGCCCTTTAACTCATGTCTGCAAAAAAAATATACTGGGTATATGTAGCAAATCTATATCGCACGTCACACAAGCTAAATTATGACCAAATTTCATTATTACGAACAAAATTTAATGTACATGTAGTCTAAACTTTTCCTGCGTTCAAGTTTCGACAAAGCACTTAAAAATATAATGTACATGTACAGTCAATGCTAGATTTAGATGAATAAGAGATCCTAGGTTATTCCTCTTATGCGGTCTCTTCCATTCCTCACCCTCACAACTAGAGGAAGAGGGAAGAGTATTTTAAACACAACTGAGCAAAGCCCAGGATGATGGCAGATGTTTATGACTACAGCAGTCGAATTGAAAAAATCGCTCCCCTCAAAAAAACTCTCCCAGTTTTAATAAGAAGAGTGATTTAGAAATTAAGAAGAGTGATCTGATATTAAGGAGAGTGATTAGTTATGTGGATGGGAAATGGTTCTAAGATCAATAAGTACATGTAATGGGGTCATTTCTGGTTTCGTAAATGATAATAAACCCCCAATGACTATGTAAAGGAGAGCGATTTTCAATTTTATGGGGAGGGACCCCCCCCCCCCCGGTCGACATTCAGGTGAGCGACAAGTGCTCGAGAGTGATCGCTCGCCTTAAAAAACAATGACTGCTACAGTGTATGTTAGAAAGACTATGACAGTGTAAAATATCAAACGTACACCTTGACCAGTGGCCCCCTATAGATGTTGACACCCTAGACTTCAGTCTACCAAGCCAATAGGTATATCCGGTATTGTGTATGTACATACATGTACAGTGCGTGTAAGAAAGACTATGACAGTGTTAGATATTATATGTACACCTTGACCGGTGGCCGCCTATAAATGTTGAGAACCTAGCTATAGACTTCCGTCTGCCAAGCGAATAGGTATATCAGTGTACAGTGTGTGTTAGAAAGACTATGACAGTGTCAAATATTATATGTACACCTTGATCAGTGGCACCCTATAGATCTTGAGACCCTAAATCCTGTACTGTCTACAGTGAAATCTCACTAAGACCAGTTGCAGGACTGATGTAAATGAAATGAAATGAAATGGGGTTTAACGTCCCACAGTTCTGCGCTGACCTGGCTAATGAAGACAGGCATATGCCATACAGTGTGCCATGAGGAAAATTTTGACAGGACAGTGGCATATGGCCTAATCTTATATCGAATTCAAACTGCCAAGGGATCTTTTACTTGCACCTCAGTTTTTCATCCCATCTGAACAATACATGTTGTCCCTTGCCAGGCCCTCTGTCCTACACCACCGACAAGGGGAAATCACACCGGATAATTCATCACGTGACTGGCCTGTCATACTGAGATGGTCATTGAGCGTGATTTCAATACACTTAAACAAAAAATATTTTCAGAAAGATTTGAGTTAATTGAGCTAACCTCATACGATGTATATTTCTCCAACCATCTTCTCCATGAACTCGACAAGCTAAGATATGAGTCAACTGATTATCGATCTGCAGTGCTTCATGTAATAACTGCTGCGCTACAACTTGACATCGATGTCTAGACATTGTTGAGATCAACTGGTCAAAATCTCCATTACTGAAAGCAGAAATTTTACAATTTTTAAACAAAATTTCTCTGAGGAGCATGTGAATGAAATTCTCTCCAAATGAGAGAGAGAGACAGAGAGAATGAGAGAGAAATGGAGTTTAAGTCCACTCGACACAAACTAGGCCATTTCGGGACTAACATGGTTTTAATTTTATTTCAATAATTTGCTTGCGCATAGGGTCTTTAGCAGTGGGAGGAAACCGGAGGACCCGGAGAAAACCCACGTGGTTGGACAGGCAACCCCACTCCTTGTCACGTACAACCAGGGATTCGAAACCATGCCTGTTGACTCAATGACAGGCCTTATGATACAGTGTGCACGTGCTAACCATTCGACTATCCAACTCCCCTCTCTCCAAATGAGTGAATAATATTTCTCGATAGTTAATGAACCATCTGACTTATGATTTGATAAGGTTAATTGCTAGTTTTCATGTCAATGTCTGTGTGTGTGGAGGGGGGGGGGGGGGTGAGGGGAGGGATCTAATATATATCCTGTAGATCATAAAGGAGCCCTTATCTATGCTAATCATGAGTTTATACAGGACACGAAGCAGGGTCGACTGTATAACCTTACAGATTATCTTGATAATCTGGTCCCCCCCCCCTCCCCTCGTCTAAAATTATTAAAATATGTTATTCCCAAAATGACCTGGTTTGTACCAAACAACGATTAAGCCATATTGAATGTACTAAATACTGAGATAATTCTCAATATTTCTCCAATTGAAGTAGAAAATATAAAATAGGTTACCTATTAGAATATGGTCCTCTATCATAAGAACCTTCGAGTCTTGGATCACTGCGAGACTGTTGGTAGTTATAGTAACCAGGTTGAGGGTTGTTGTCTTGGTAACCAGGTGATGTGTCATGGTAACCATGATTATAACCGTAAGCCTGATCATTTTCAGGTGATGTAGGACTAGAGGAAGCGGGATCATTAAACTTCAGCTTAGAATTAGTTATTACAATAGGTTTTTTGGGGTTATTAGGATCAAACAACATCCTCTGACCTCCTTGCCCTCGTCCTTCAGCTCGTCCCCTCCCTTGCTGCCTTGGCAACGTGTCTGAATGACTTTCCCTATATCGGCCACGACCATGTCCCTGAGAATGAGGATGGGGTGGACCTGAGTTACCTCCTGTGAGTCTAATTAACCCCCCACTATGCACCTGTGGAGAATGACTTTCAGAATTTTTTCTCTGTTGATTTTCAGTGGACATTTTCACTTGTCTTTCATTCCCACCCAGAGTTATTTTAAGATTCAGATTTTCACTTTCACCAGACGGATGTCGAACTTTAGCTCCAGCAGAAGAATGGCGTTTTTTAGGTCGTCTTCCTCGACGTTCTCCGTGAAAATTATTTTCATCATCTTGATTGCTGCTTAAACTAGAATCCCGACTACGATTACTGCCATAGCCATGAGATCCTTTGCTATTCCTTCGTCTTTCTTTTTTACGACCGCGATAGTCATTTCTCGGTAGACTTGAATAACCCTTGGGATGTTGATGGTCGGCAGGTTCTGGTTCTTTCGGACTCTCTGGTTGCGGTGGATATCCAGCCACGCAACTTTCTAAATATTCATTCAGTTTTTGAGCTTCATTCTGTACCTGTTGCGACAGTTCCCTCTCCACTTCAGCACCCCAATCTAGAACTCGCTGCATGGCAGCTTCGTGTTCTTCGTCATCAAAATTATCAATACTTAACTCACTACTTACGCTCATGTCACTGCTAAAACTACCAGCACGGTGTCGTGATGCTGAAAATCGTTTTCCTGTAAAATATTTTTCAGATTCTAACTTATCCCTTTCTTTCAACATCCTTTCTGTTATTCCTTTCACCTGAAATTTCTTTTCTGGTTCTCTCTGGTCAGCAAATTTTTTCTGATTGCCACCTTTGAGAGATTTTGGTCGACGACCACCTCCTCCACCTCTGTACCCATAATTCTCATTTCTTTCATAGCCACCCTTTTCTGAAAATGTGTCGCCTTCCTGGGAAGAGTTAGAATTCCGCCGGCGATTCCGACCGTACGTTTCTCTTTGTTGATAATCTCCTGGTTTAGGACTTGAACTTCTGCGGTTATTTTTACGAAACTGTTCCTGTTTGTATTTGCTTTTCGGAAATGTATTACACTTTTCACCCTCATACGAAGACTTTCTGGAAGGTGTTGGACCGTCTGCTTTATTTTCCGTTGTTTGATCTGGATGAATTACCGTGACTTTTAAAGCACCAGATGAATCTTGTACATTAATCTGTCGTCCGAATGTTGAGGAATCCTCCTGATATTGATCATCAGGAGATTTTGGTTGGTTCGATTTTGTAATCTGAAACTGTTCCTTTTCAGATTTAGTGGGGCTTGTTATAGAACTGTTACTGATAATGGATCTTTTAACAGAGGGGGAATCAGAACCTGGTAAATGTCTTCTGTTTACTTTAGGACTCAGAGCATCCTGGCTTGAGAAACTGATTCGCATATTATCAACATCCGTTGTTATATCGGAATCCCAGTTCTCTTCTAATTTTTTATCTTCTTTCTCTAACAGTCGACCTCTTGGCACATAGACTTGTATATCAGGTCTTTTCTTACGTCTGTTATCCAGGTTTGATTTTTTTGCAGATTCCTCATTTTTATTCTTATTCATATTTTCTTTCTTACCATCAACTAGCACGTCCAGATCTCCATGTGGATTATTACCTAGTGACTGAATATTTTTTGTGATTTCTGAAAAGTTTCTTTCCATGCTGCTTTCTTTACTGGGAGGTTGGCTGTTGTTGTCAAAGGCAACATTGGTGGTATCTACATCCCACTCTGTTTCCCCGACAAATTTTGTATCAACCGTTTTTGTGGTTTGTAATCGGGATGCTCCACCAGGTCGATAGATTTGTTGGGCTGGTCGTTTAGATCTCGAAGGTTTCTTTTCACTATCATCTTCATCTCGATTAGATTTAGCTTTTTCTAGAACAAAGAAATATAAACAAATGAATTATGCAAGTAAATGGGGGAACATCGAAACAAAAATTATCTAGAGATAAAACACCTCCTGTTTTGAATTTAGAGAATTATTACTTATTATTCATTTGATACTGTTTCATGTGTGTCTGTTGTTTCACTATGTGGCTATGCCAATGATTGAAATTCATTGAGAATTATATAAAGTTTTGAAGTGTAGATTATTTTGAAACTGTAAAGTCATTCTAGTTCCAAGAAAAAACTCATTCTCGTTGAAATGCAGAGTACTGTTATATTCATTCTCGACCTATTTTTTCACCAATAAACAGTCGTTGTTGTTTGTATTTCAGAGGAGAGCCAAAAAAAGCTCCTCTCAATCAACGAATTGAAAAAATCGCTCCCCTCAAAAAACTCTACCAGTTTTGATAAGAAGAGTGATTTACTGATTTAGAAATTAAGGAGAGTGATCTGATATTAAGGAGAGGGATTAGTTATGTGAATGGGAAATGGTTAAGATCAATAACTGCATTCCTGGTTTCATGAATGATAATAAACCCCAAATGACTGTAAAGGAGAGCGATTTTCAGTTTAAGGCAAGGGAAAAAAAAATCCCTCCTCGGTTGACATTCAGGTGAGCAGCAGGAGCTCGAGAGCGATCGCTCGCCTTAAAAAACAATGACTGAATAAATATCCAACCAAAATACATGTATTTCCATTTTGGGCCATACATGCATACATATTCTATTTGAATAAACTGGCGGCATATCATATCAGATAAAGTCAGGGGTGACAGGTCTACTTTAAATGTAAGCCTACAGCATTAATGACACTCGAAGTGGCTCATATAAGTCATAATTTGTTTTAAAAATAAATTTAAGCAATCCATATGAAAGGAGCTAAATCCCTTATATTTGGAACCTATAAATTGACACAAATGGGTCGCAACGGATATAATAATGTAATATGAATGTATATAAACTGATTTACATTCAATCGTTTCCGTTTTTACTCTAATTTCAAATCAGTTACGTTCGTCGGAAATATGCCAGAAGTCTCAATCGAATGGCAATCTTTAGCATCTGGTTATTCCAGTCTACATAGTATTTATTGCGCATGCTCTCCAGATAAGAATATGTCTAGCCTCATTCATCAAGTTCCTTGTTAAAATGGGCCTGAAATGCATTATGGTACACGATTTGTGTACCAATGTTAAAATATTTATTTTGTCTTAAATATTAAATATCAGAAGCCCATCTTTTCCCGGTAAGATCACAACATCAGGTTAATTTAAATTTAAATAATTCGTGTTTTCAATGTTGAAGACTGTGGATGATATTGATCATATTGAGTTAAACAAACTTTCAAAAGACGTAAACAACTAATAGCAATCAAATGCAATAACTTAATTAATGGTAATAAATTTGTAAAGTAATATATAACAATTTAATACTGACTGACAGACATAATTTTTTTACATATCATATAAACATGTCATGTACATGTAGCCCCTGGCATGATGATATATTGCAGTGATAGGCCTACACAACAAAGACAAAGCTTAAAAACATGGTATTTACCAAAAATAATTTGATATATGCAGGTACAATTAAAAAGTTGTTAGTTTCAAATGTTAAGACGACAAGAGATAGTAAGAAAACAAATGGTTCTTGGTGAAATAAAAACTTGGAACCCCAAAAAAAAGAAAAAAAAAGGAAAATCAGAGAAACTGTTAAAGTAAGTTATAAAGTAAGGAAGTGAAGTTGAAGTCTCAATTCTCAATACTAATGTGTGTAAATATTCGAATAAAATTCGCTGTATTTTCATTTCAAATGAAAAAAACATTGTGGCTTATATTGGAGAATTAAAGAATAACTACCGTTTTTCTTTGAAATGATGGAATTTTTCAAATCATCATAAGTAATTCTGACAACTTCTCTTTTAGAAGCCATTTTGCTTCATCAACCATTTTTTCTAACTTTATTATAGAAAATATTAAAAAGGGGAAACAACTTTTGCAAGGAAAAAAATTGGAGTTACTTCCCTTCATCCCGGTAATCGACTTCCTGTTGTTCCGTTTTACCGCATTTTGTAAATTTGTTAAGAGATATTTTAACTTGTTATCCATCATATTATATTTATATAATGGACGACGGTGAAGACATTTACGTAGAAAACCCAACGTTTAGATCAGCTTATCCAATGGAGCCCCTGCATTATGGAAAACGACTGAGATGGGATTATAAAGTCCATTTGATTGGAGAAAAAGTGGTGGATCCATTGATTCACACCTGCGAAGTTTGCATTCAACCGATTTTAAGTTACGGACGAATGATTCCTTGCAAGCATGCTTTTTGTTTAGACTGTGCAAAAAATGCAGGAAAAAGATGTCCAAGATGCAAAGAAACAGTAACCCGAGTTGAACAGTCTCCGTTGGGGAGCGTATTTATTTGTACATTTAACGGACAAAAGCAATTGGCGAACGGTTGTCGCAGAACTTACCTTTCACAAAGAGACTTAAACTCCCATGTTGCTCATCGGCATCTTCAAAATGCAAAAGTTTCTCCAGTTGATCCTGTAAAATCCAGTGCTAGTCGACATCCTATGGTGGATGCACCAATTGCTGCCGCCCCAGTAGTTCGTCCTGAACAAACTGTATTTACTAATCCAGGAGCAGCAGGACTTCTCCAATCTGTCAATGCTCTTTTAGGTCATCTGCAGCCCCAGATGGTACCACCCCCAATTCGAGCCCCAACAGCACAACCCTTGGCTCAACCGTTAGCTCATCTACCAATGGTGCAGAAACCTCCAATGTCTTCTACAACGATAGAAAGTTACCAGACATCAACGATGCCGCCTATTATGGCAACAAGCAGAACAAACCTTATAACTGTACCAATACAAGAAGAAGCTTACAGACATCCCAATGCATATACAACTGCTTTAGGAAGTGCACCTGCAGCATATGTTCAACCGCCCGTGAACCCACTTGCACCTGCTCTCCAATCATATATTTCATCAACATTATCTGCACAAGTTCCCACAGGAGGTGCTTATCCACCACAGATCAGCATGGCAGGATCTCCATATTCTACACAGTCAGTGCCAGCGGTTCCCCATCCTGGAACAATGCCACATCATGGACCTCCTCCACAGATGATTGGAGGACCACAACCAGCTCCCTCACGATTCACTAGTCCTCATCAGCCTTATGATGATGGACACGGTAAACAATATTCACAGACTGGGGGCTCCCCAAGAATGCCCTGGAATGCAGGTAATAGACCTCCAGGTCCTGTTCCTGGTCCCCCTCCCCAAAGAACACATAGTGACTCAACATCCTACAATCAGTATTACTGATAACTCAAATAATGAAGTTTATATGTGTGCACTGTACATGAATTTTAAACAATAGTAGAACGTTTTAAAATGACATTTGATTGTACATATACATGTAGGCGTACAGGACTACTTGATTCAGGAGCCGGCTCTTTGCCCGAATATCATTAAACAAGAAATTAGCAGAATATACCAAAATGTGACTTTCACAGTTTTATTGAAGGATATGAATATTAATAATATTACTAAGAATGTTGGACAGTTGGTACATGTTCATGCTCATGTACTATAGATTGGCATATACTTTTTTGAATTTGAATTTGAACCCTAAATGTTCAGAAAGCATTCAGTATTTTATAGAAACGCAGTTATTGCCATGCCAGATTATGCAATCATAAGTACGCCAAATGATAGCATAAAATTAAGTCCCCAAATGACATGTACATAGACTGAACATTTTACTCTTTAAAAGGGCTAAGTCACTAATATTTGGAACCTAGAAATTGACACAAATGCGTCACATGACTTATGGAATATGTCTAGCCTCGTTCTTCGAGCCCCTTCTTACAAATGACGCTGAAACACATTATGGTACACGATTCATGTACCAATGGTAAAATGTTTATTTTGTCTTAAATATTGGATATCAGAAGCCCACCTTTTTCCGGTAAGATCACAACATCAATGTTGATTTAAATAGACAAATAATTTGTGTCTTCAAAGTCGAAGAATTTGGATGATATTGAGTTAGAGACTTAGCTACTTTAAGGTTGTTTTTAATATCATCTAATGCAAGCTTTGCCTAAAAGTGCCCTATCTGAATTTTCTTTTTAGACATGTAAAATATGTAAATTTTCTGATTTCAAGGGCCTGTCCATTACCGGTACTTATTAACTTGTATGTACAACAAACTCTAATTTTTAGATTTGCGGAATGTAAAAAGAAATAAATTGGGGAATATATCAACTAATATTTGGTTTAAAAGAGTACAGTATAAGTTACATGTATATATGATGTTGTTAGATTGTAAATGTTTATGAACATTTAGATCCAAGTGAATTTTAATTAAAATTATTGTACATTTGTTTGTCAATTTCAGTGCTTGTAAATGTGAAATCTTTTGTTATTTTGTATAAAACGGTTCACCTCTTAATGCATGTTATTTGTTTAATTCCTATTATTATTATTAATATGGGGGGGAGGAGGGGGGGGGCTGAATGGTTCAGCGCATGGGTGTTGAATCATAAGGTCTGTCATCAAGTCGAGTGTCATTTTTCGCTTTTATGTCAATATAGCAAGGGTGGTCAACAAGTTATAGATCATAAATGGGTCGATGGTCACCTTTGTAACGTGAATTTCTATGGATACTCTGGTTCCCCTTTCTTCTAAAGAACTCTGCACTCGAAACGAATTATCAAAATAAACATATATTTTAGTCCCAAAATGACCTGGCTTATGCCAAGTAACTGTTGTTAAGCCCCATTTATCTCCCCTTTACGTTAATGTACTAAACATTGAGATAAATTTCAATCTTTCCCCATCTACATTGGCCTAGTCGGAGCAGGACAGTAGGACGTTAAACTTCATTTCATTACTCAATCTTTCTTCAGCACAAATAAATGGAGGTAGGAAACCATGTCAGTCATCCTGTAGTTACTATCAGACTTCCTTGTGTTTGTTTTCTTTGTGGGTAATATTATATAACACTACAGGTTAAATGGTTCCTACAACTTTATTGTTAAGCTGGAATGGCTTCGAAGGTCCCTCGTTCTCAATAAATAATAGCTGCTCGGAATACCTGGGTGAGCTCGGACCAGTCATGCTCAACACCCTCCTTTATAACCCCCTAATTTCTGCATGTCTTAGATTGACCTTGACGTTAATTTCCATCCCAAATATTGAATAAACCTATTTCTCAAGACCAGGGGGGTGAACATTACCTTTTTTGGTCCAACAACCATAGGTTAATAAACAGATAGAATTTGATGGATATTTTGACAATGGTTAGGATTTGACCAACATATCACTGTTTTTTATATATAAATTTATCATTCACGTTCATTAAGTACGTGTGATTTGACTCTATAGAAAGAGTGAAGCAACAATTTTTCAAAGACCCAATATTGTCTTGAGGACCAAAGTGATACACCAGAATGACCTGGGATGTGTTGAGTGGATGTCAAACCCCATTTCTTTTATACTAATTTTCATTGAGTAAACTGGCGTGGTTTCGATTCCCCGGTTATAAGTGACAAGGAGTAGGGTTGCCTGTCCAACCTTGTGGGTTTTCTCCGGGTCCTTCTCACTGCTCAAGACCCCTACCTGCAAGCGAATTATTGAAATAAAATTGAACCATGTTAGTCCCGAAATGACCTAGTTTGTGTGGACGTGAGAGAGAGAGAAATGGGGTTTAACATCCACTCGACACAAACTAGGTTATTTCGGGACTAACACATGGTTCAATTTTATTTCAATAATTCGCATGCGCGTAGGGGTCTTTAGCAGTGGGAGGAAACCGGAGGACCCGCAGAAAACGCACGAGGTTGGACAGGCGACCCTACTCCTTGTCACGTACAACCAGGTCATCGAAACTCCGCCAGGTGACTCAATGACAGACTGTATGATACAGCGCGTGCGTGCTAACCATTCGGCCACCCAACCCCCCTTGAGTGGACGTTAAACCCCATTTCTTTTATACTAATTTAATGTACTAAATACTGAGATTATCACCAATATTTCTTCAGCACAAATAAATGGAGGTAACAGACTTTGTTGTTGAAATCTGTTGCAAATTGAAGACCATTACGCAAATAGTTCATCTGTGTATTCAGGGGGAGAGAGAGAGAAATGGGGTTTAATGTCCACTCAACACAAACTCGGTCATTTCTGTCAGGACTAACATATGGTTTTATTTTATTTCAATAATTTGCTTGCATGTAGGGGTCTTTAGCAGTGGGAGTAAACCGGATGACCTGGAGAAAACCCACGAGGTTGGACAGGCGACCCTACTCCTTGTCACATACAACCGGGATTCGAAACCACACCAGTTGACTCAATGACAGGCCTTATGATACAGAGGACACTGCATGTCACTTCAGTACTTTTGAATATCCAGAATTCTACTTCCCTATGTTTTTTTTTTGCATTGGTTGTAATTGGAATATTTTCGACCAATAAAATAGCTTTCACCCCTTTTTGAACTTGCAGAAATATCCAATACCAAAATTGTAATAAATAGAGTCAAAGGTACAAATAAATGGATTTTACACAGAAGGGAGATAACCCTGTAGTGACTATAAATTAAAGGCTGGAATTTTGAAAGAATATTGCCCCAGTTGCATGAAAATGTAAAGAAGTTATTGATTTTAAGTTCAATACAGCTTTATAGAATTATCAATTCATTATGTGCTTACATATCTAATGCCACAATGTCCAGAGCTTTAATTATATGTGTTCCAGGCCATTCACGAAAAAGTGCAAGTCTGAATAGGCTATCTATATATACATGTACTAGGTATTGCACAACAATCTCTTTTCCAATGGAATTTTCTCAAAAAACTTGCTTCTATCAAAATGAAATGTGGTTTAATATTCTACTTGTCTGCATCAACCAGGCTTACAATTTATTATGAGCTAATGAGGTAAAGTTTGCCCCGACAGCGACTCTACAGCTTAATCTTATATTACATCTCAAAGTCAAGGTTTCTTTTACGTGAACACTGATTTTTTTGGTCCATCCAAACTACTAGACCCTGAATTCGAACTTGCCAAGCCCTCCGCCCAGAATTCGAACTTGCCAAGCCCTCCGCCCATCATTGACAAGGCTAAACTGCACCAGAAAATCTTGAGAAACTTCTCGGCCAACACTGGGAGCGAGCTAGAGACCTCCTGGTTGGCAATCCAGAGTCTTACTGACCGATCCACAGCAGCTCCCTCTCATAAAATGAAATTGGGTTTAACGTCCTACTGTTCTGCTCCAACTGGGCCATTATGCCATGAAGTGTGCTGGGGGAAATTCTGCCTGGACAGCGGCACTACAGCCTACTCTTATATCGAATTCGAACTGCCAAGGGATCTTTTACATGTATGCCAATGTGTACACCGGAGCTCGGTCTGTCGTACCATCCGAACAACTAGACAGCTGTCCTTGTCAGGGCATCCGTCCTGCACCACTGACAAAGGGAAACCACTCTGGAAATCCCTCATATAAATACAAAAGACAGCAGTATAACTATTTTTATGTTTTTATATAAGAAACATTAAATGGTTTAGTAGTAATGGCCTCCAATCTCTCTAGTCTATTAATACCTGTATTTTATATACTTATTATAATATTCCATGTAGCACCAATACTCAACAAATGATATGAAAATAATTCCAACGGTAATACATCTCTAACAAATAAAATTTTAATTTTCTGTCATTTTAATTTTGAGAAGACAAAATATAACAATTCATCGAGATTTCCACATTGATCGAGACAACAAATATTTCACCGAGATCAGATCAGCATTGATTCTTGGGTTCTTTTTTTTTTTTAACTATAATAAATTAAAATTATTAGCACTATTACTTGAATATCACATTGTTTAAAGAATAAATGGCACATGTATTATTTTCATAAAGTAAGAGGAACACGAAGTTTAGTTCTGACTATGTTAAAGTGGTACTATGCATTTACTATAATAAATTCACCTCTGTTGGCATTTATATTCTTGAAAACACACCAACCTATTTAAAGATAAGTACATTATATACAGCAAAATAACAATGTCGTTTCAGTGCTGTAAGTGAAATTGGGGATAAAAATCAACAAAACAATTGTAGTAGCGCATGACGTCAATCCACGATATCATTCCCCAATATCAACAATAATGTATGCATTAATGTACATTGATGTTAATTTATAAAGAAATGCATAGAGGCACTTTAAACAGTTTTAAATAACACAGAGGTATTCCTACCAATTTTAATATAAATAACGGCACAATGAACAAGAGGCTCATGTTGTCAAGACAACCATTTTTTTTTCCTAATGTTAGTTTTGTTCTATTTCACACAATGTTCTTTTTAGGATTTAACAAAGTCTTCTCCTTTCTTGATATTGGATATTAATTCTGGCATGGCTGCTTTCAATAGTCCAACTTCATAATCTATTAATTTACCAACACCAAGATTACTAGCTACACCTTCTTTCTGTAAATACAAAAAAGAGAGAAATTGAGATTAATGTCCATCCGACAACATACCTACAATTTTATTTCAGAGAGAAAGAAATGGGATTTAACATCTATGAGAGAGAGAGGTTTAACCACCACACCAACTAGGTCATTTTGGGACTAACATATGGTTCAATTTTATTTCAATAATTCGCTTGCTCGTAGGGGTCTTCAGCAGTGGGAGGAAACCGGAGGACCTGGAGAAAACCCACGAGGTTGGACAGACGACCCTACTTCTTGTCAAAAGAGAGAGAGAAATGGGGTTCAACGTCCACTCGACACAAACTAGGTCACTTCGGGACTAACATATGGTTTTAATTTTATTTCAATAATTCGCTTGCGCGTAGGGGTCTTTAGTAGTGGGAGGAAACCGGAGGACCCGGAGAAAACCCACGAGGTTGGACAGGCGACCCTACTCCTTGTCAAAAGAGAGAGAGAAATGGGGTTTAACGTCCACTCGACACAAACTAGGTCATTTCGGGACTAACATATGGTTTAATTTTATTTCAATAATTCGCTTGCGCGTAGGGGTCTTTAGTAGTGGGAGGAAACCGGAGGACCCGGAAAAAACCCACGAGGTTGGACAGGCGACCCTACTCCTTGTCAAGTACAACCAGGTAATCGAAACCACGCCAGTTGACTCAATGATAGACTTTATGATACAGCATGCACGTGCTAATCATTCAGCCACCCAACTCCCCACGAAGCTAATGAAGAAGGGTATATGGCATGCAGTGAGCTATGAGGAAAATCTTTACTATCAAGGGCTCTTTTACATTACACAAACATGTAAACCAGACTTTGGTTTTTCGTCATTTCTGGCCAGGTCTTCCTAACTACACCACTGACAAGAGGAAGCCATGCTTAAAAATTATGAAGAAGTTTTTCAGTCAACACCATGATTTAACCCGGGACCTCCTGATTAGTGAACTGGCCACCGTGGTTCAAACCAGACAAATATTTGGAGACAGTGATTTAAATGGCTAACCCAAATGTGATATAAAACTACTGCATTTAATGTACAATATTCTACAGGTAATGTACGCTATTCTACAGGTAATGGAATATGCCCCTAGGTTCCAGAGAGAGGGAGAAATGGGGTTTAACGTCCACTTGACACAAACTAGGTCATTTCGAGATTTACATATGGTTCAATTTTATTTCAATAATTTGCTTGTGAGAAGGGGGTCTTTAGCAGTGGGAGGAAACTGGAGAAAACCCACAAGGTTAGACAAATGACCCTACTCCTTGTAACTTACAAGCAGGGGAATCAAAACCACACCACTTGACTCAATGACAGACCTTATGGAGTTCACGCGCACACACTAAACCACTCAACCAACCAAACCCTTTGGTTCCAAAGAATAAAGCAAATTTGGTGGTGTAACTTACCCCTAAAAGTATAGGATTAGCAAAGTATTTAGCTTCAGTTTCATTGGATCGTACATAAGCGCATTCTATCTTTCCTTCAACTCCAGCCATAGCTTCTAACAAAGAGAAACAGAACTGAGCTGCTGCGTAAGCCATTGATAATGTAGCTGAACCCTGGAAGACAGAAAAACAAATTATTAACGTTGCTGAATACCATTTCAGTGATTGTGAATATCTAAACTACAGTGTTGTAAAAGTTGAGGATATAATAGGAATATCAGTTCAGATACGGTTCAATTCCGTTCAAAAATTACAAAGATATGACGCTCTACTCGTTCGGGTTGTTAGCCTTATGAAAAGGAAGAACCCTTTCAAAATGTTTTTGATAAATTCATTGCCTGGCAACAGTAAGTTCATTGTACAAAATAGAGTATGCAGGTTTGTCTTTCTTTTTTTTTTTTTTACATCATGTGTGACCATACATGACTTAGGACTTATTTATAGTCCTTGGGATTATTCCCACGAGGTTAGACAGATCACCGTAATCTGGGTATCATTTAATCTTGTGTATTAAGCACTAATTTCTTTCACTTTCATTCAATATCAAATCCTTGTTTAAAAATTTGTAAAAATCATTTTAAATCACCAAAATTCATCTGATTTGTACTTGTGTCCAGTTTAAAGCTGACCATTCAATTTTGATAATGAGTGTCCAATTTACAAGCATTTAATTTCTCAATCACTGTTAAAAAATAAACAACCCAATTGATTAATGATGTATAATGATTAATTTTTGAACAGTTGTCAGGAAATTTTTAAATACTTGTAAATTGGACCCTCGTTATCAAAATTAATCAGTCAACTTTAAAATTAGATGATTTGGGCTGATTTTAAACGATTTTTTAAACAAAGATTTGATATTAAACGAATGTGAAAGAAGTTAGTACTAAATACACAAGATTAAATGATACCCGGGTTATAGTGCTGTGATCCTGGCCATATATAAGCTTGGGATGGACACCACTCCACAAATAAAACAGTATTCACAAGAGTAAAAAGTTTTTACAATAGGTCCATCCAAACAAAATGATAAACTATGACTTACAGCACCAGCTTTAGCCTCAACAACTTCTGTACCAGCATTCTGGATTCTTACAGATAACTTATCTCTTTCATCCTGTAAATATACAAATAAATTATTAACATTTCTAATATTGACCTTTCTCACTAAATCAACATGCTACAGTTCAGTCAAAACAAGTATGATATTATAATAGGACAAGGAACCAAGCAAGAAATCTGATTATAACACAAATCCTATTTCGTTTCGTTTTTTATAGTTCAAAATTTCGTTTTACTTGTCTTCACAACACTAGGATCTGGAAGAGTTTAAGCCGCATATTGGTTAATGTGAGGGCTTAGCCAATGAAGTGGTCTGTTCTTGGTGTACTATGCACGGAATTGTGGGTAAACTACTAGAAACGTCAACACTGGTTGATTAATAATATAGGGCCAAAAGCCGCTTGTATGACCTCTGACGCGACCTTATCACTACAACCGGTCAGATCTTTATGTAGTGTAGACCACCGAAAGAATAAAAAATCAAAACGAAATATAGATCTGTATTTCAATCAGATTGCCGAGCAATTGTCAATTCATTTTAAAAATCGAAATCCACCAACTGTCCAAGGAACAAGCATGCTTAGATTTATGTCGACCCAACTTGAATTGAAATCGTCCCCACGAAAAAGATAAGTATTGATTAGGGACGTGTTCTAATTCCAACATAAGTGATTTATCCCCTATCAATCTTTCTACATCTATTATTATTATTGTATTTTTGTATGGAATACAGCTTCCACGACTAAGTGCTCACATGGCTTTACAAATGAAATATATAAATAAACCAAAACAAAAATAAAACATACATGACAACTAAACAAATGAAATGAGCACTGCGATTGTCTGGAAATATTTAAGTTCTTTAGGACTATAAAAGTGAACTATATCTATTAGTGACATATAGAAGTCAGGTGAGATCGGATGATTTACCCAGGTATTTTTTTTATTATAGAAGAACTTACCTGTGGAAATGAGACAGGTGGTGTGCACTGTGATAAAACAGGTATAATAGTGATACCACTGTGACCTCCAATAACAGGTACATTAACTTTACTTACATCTAAACCCTACAATATACATTAATACAATATAATAGTTATTTTTATCATTTACTGCTAGTCCCTACAGTTTACATTATACAATAATAGTTACAAACTTAATAATTATTTTCCTTACATCTAAACCCTACAATTTACATTATGCAAGATCTAAATCTGCCTATTGCAGGTCTTTTTTTAGGCCTGAAATGTTTTCTTAAGTATTAATTAGACATTAATTAACTGATCCAGGCCTTAATCAACTCTCGATGGCATCAGATTTCTCTGATTAGATTAAATAGATTAGAATGGTTCAGCGATACTTTGATTTAATCAAATATGGAGGACAGAGACTTAGCTTCGATCAACCAGTACCGTGGTTGAAATTATTGCACACGTCTTTCAGTAATTTGAATGAAATTTTCAAATTATTCATTTTACATCCTCTAATTTCGAACTATTATAGCAAGAATGACTAGTTCTTTATCTAAATCTTACATAATGTATCTTTAATAGTCATAATATTTAAAATTTACAGCTATTCCAGGGTGTGCACAACCCAGAACACTTGAAATTCCAGGAGTTTTCCAGGAGTTATTTACCAGATTCCAGGAGTCCCTGTATAGAATTCTACGTCATAATGTATTTTTTTTATGCTTGAAGAACATTGTTCGACTGACTTTTGAAGAAACATTCGATGACTACATTCAGTTTGATATCTTAAAATATATTTTCCAGGAGTTTCAAGGAGTAATCTTATTTTTCCAGGACTTTCCAGTACTGGAAATCACATTTTCATTTTTCCAGGATTTTCAAGCTAGCACCACCTATAAGTGTTGTGTAAAGTCTTTTTACACAGCCCCTTTTTAATCTGAATCAATCCAAGCCAGGAAATCATCTAACTTTGATTTAAATTTGTGCCTGACATTGCCTACGAGTGGTGCCATATTTTCAACAGTAAACAATCATGGGTTAAACCGCATCGTTAGATCTCATCAAAATACTGCTGATATCAATACGCTTCGCAAATCTCAAGTTTCAGGCAAACTAACAATATTTTACTTGTGCAAGAGAGGAAGAGAACATATGATCATCTTGAGAGAAGAGAAATGGGGTTTAACATCCACTCAACACAAACTATGTCATTTTGGGACTAACACATGGTTCAATTTTATTTCAATAATTCACATACGTGTAGGGGTCTTTAGCAGTTGGAGAAAACCGGAGGAGCCGGAGAAAACCCACGAGGATGGACAGGCGACCCTACTCCTCGTCATGTACAACCAGGAAATTGAAACCACGCCAGATGACTCAATGACAGATCTTATGATACGAACACATGCTAACCATTCTACCATCCAACCCCCTGATCATCTTGAATAATTAATCAACACACAATGTTTCGATTACAGTTAAAGTAATATCCTACCTTAGCTTCAGCAATAAATGTGTTAGATCTAACAACATCTAAAGTTGTCACACCAAAAATTCTCTTAGGATCATAAACACCACGTTTTGTATATACTTCTGATGCTATTGGTACTGTAGAATTTACCTGATAAATACAAATAATCTTCTATCAAAACATGGAAAACAAATAGAGTGTAACATCCAATTTGTTTGCACAAAAGTGAAAGAGAGAGAGAAATGGGATCTAAGGTCCACTCGACACAAACTAGGTCATTTCGGGACTAACATAATGGTTCAATTTTATTTCTATAATTCTCTTGCACGTAGGGGTCTTTAGCAGTGGGAGGAAACCGGAGGTCCTGGAGAAAACCCATGAGGTTGGACAGGTGACCTTATGATACAGCGTGCACGTGCTAACCATTCGGCCATCACCCCCCTTGTTTTTTTTGCACATTTTTTTTTCTATATTGCCAATTAGAAAATGGCTGACAAATCATGTACACTGAAGCTTATGCAAATTATATCATGTATAGATCACAGGGACTTGAAGGGATTCAAATTTCTTATCAATACTACAGTAGAATACTAGTCAAGAAATTAAGTTTTATTGTAATCCCTTCAAATCCCAGTGGTGTAAATTACTTCCTGGTTTATCATGTTAGGGAACACTTACTGGATTAGTTATAATACCAAGCATGGCTTTAGGACAAACTTGAGCACATGTATCAGCTAAATCACGAACAATAGATGCATTTGTGTTAAATAAATCATCTCTTGTCATACCTAAAATAATAAACAATACAATGAGTCATTTGAAAGTAAAATGAGTCAGAATTGACAGTAAAATGAGTCAGAATATAAAATTGTATGAAAGAAATGAACAAATGCAAAGGAAATGGGGTTTAATGTCCTGCTACAACTGGGCTAATGTGCTTTACAGTGTACTATGGTAGGGTGACCCACCATAAATAAATATCTCCATATATCTCGACAATTACGCCACAATACTTATATATATGCCAAGCCTCAAATCAGTTCCACACAATTATAGTCACTAAATAAACGATCATGTTGTACTTAATAAGCTATGGCCATTAATCACGTATAAATAATAGACTGAAAACTGGTTCCAAGAGTCGTCCATAACATCCAGACACTTTTGAGTAAAAGATAGGTTACGTGCCCTTGTTTTGAAATTAGTCTCGCTTAACCAGTCTATCGACCATTCTACTTCTGATTGACAGGTCGGGATAATCAAGACTACTTTTTTACGAAACATAACAGAAAGCTAGAACAAGAAATTGAATTTAGAAATAAGCACATTAGGTAGCTCAACAATCGTTTTAAGAAGCTTGTAAAAGTAAAATGAAACTACTGCTAGTATCATGTTCTTGCCTAACCTGAGTGTTTCAGAGATATTATTTGTACTAAACCAAAAGATGCCGCTCTTAACGGTACAGTTAATGATAAAGCGATTTAAAAAATGAAACGAACGTAATTTCTAAATCTGCTGTAATAACCAAGAAGCTTAATTTTACTGCTATTCAAAATCGTCAACAATAAATTTTTTACGGCTGTAATAGTTGATAGATTTGTAGAGAATTGCACGTGCCATGGCTATTTATAGTATCATACTGTCAGAAAGTTGGTCTCGGCACGGCGAATGTGCACGCTTCAGTGGTAGTCTCGAACTATCAGCGGTGGACTGTATTTCTGTGAGTACATGGGCCACCCTAACTATGGGGGAAATTTGTCCAGTCAGCATCTCTACGGCCTACTCATATATCGAATTCCAACAGCAAAGGGATCTTTTACATGCACGCTAATGTGGACACGAGACCTCTGTTTTTCGTACCACCCAAATGAACCTTACACTGTCCCTTGCCAGACTCGTTGTCCCATACCACTGACGAAGGGAACCACGCCAACAAATCCTGATGAACTTTCTCAGCCAACGCAGGAATCGAACACGGGGTACTAACCTCTTACTTTTCAGAACCAATCAGAGCTAGGAGTGAAATTTTGATAGGACAGCAGCATTTCCGTCTACTCTTCATGAATTTTAAAGATTTCTTACATATGTACTTTGGTTTGTTGCCATACTCACTGAACCCCTCGGGTTCCATTGGCAAGAGGACTGACCACATACATCATTGGGCTGATTGATTCAACTATCATTGCTCACTTTTAATCAATCAGTCCTGTTGACTCACCTGGTTTTCTGGGTACACCAGCAGGTATTAAAACAATCTCAGCATCTTTAACACAATCTCTCAGTTGATCAGGTCCCATATAGCCCTTAACAACTGCCCTTGTTTCAATATGACTTAAATCAGCTGCTACGCCAGGTGTGTGAGCAATATCATACAATGCTAATTGTGAAATTAGTGGAGAATTCTTTAATAATAACGAAAGAGGCTGTCCAATTCCTCCGCTAGCACCAAGAACCACCACTTTGGCATTTTGCTGAAATATAAAACAAAGTCATTATTTATGAAGTTGGATATGAATACAGTACAACAATTGGACTGTGTGCTATGAGGAAAATTAGGCTACAGCCTAATCTTTCTTCAAATTCCAACTGTCAACATATTTAGTTCTTTTACGTGCACGATAACATGTGCCCCGGACCTCATCCTTTGTTTTGCACCACTTAAAGGTGAAACCACGCCGGAAAATCTGAGGCACTTATTCTGCCAACACCGTGATCAAACGTGAGACTATGTGGCCTGTGAGCCAGAATCTAAATGTAACTCTATCATAAAAATGAAATGAGGTTTTACGCACTACTGTTCTGTTCCAACTGGGCTAATGGAGACGGACATACGCCATACAGTGTGCTATGAGGGAAATTTTACCCGGGCAGTGGAACTATGACCTACTCTTATATCAAATTCCAACTGTCAAGGGATCTTTTACGTGCATGCCAATGTATACATGGGACCTCTTTCTTTTGTTCCATCCGAATGGGTAGACAGCTGTCCTTGTCAGGCCTTCAGTCCTGCACAGCTCTATCATAAAAGGGTAATAACATAATCATATACCGTACATAGAATTTTCTCCTCCACATTACACAAAATAAATTGAAGATCAACATATATACCACAAACAAATTCAACAATTCTAGTAGTAGAATCACATATCTTTCTATTTATAGTGGAAGGATCAAGTGTACGTGTGTCTTCCTATTTAAAATCAGGTTAAAAAAAAACTAGTTCAAGTTCAGCAGATAAACAATCGGTAATTTCAATATTTCTTTAGTAAGGTCTACCATATTCTACTATCTATGGTTTAAGTGGTTTATGGTTACATCATGATAATCTATATCTTTATTGATAATATTCATCTACATATGCACAGTCAGTCTACAGATTATTACAATATCTTTCAGTAATCTAACCCGTTGATGTCAAACACTACTAGTCAAGAACATCCAAACATGCAGTCCGAAATCGTCTATCTACATGTAAGGCACATGGCTCCAACAAGGATATTAATCTTGTACATGTAGGTCAAAATAAAGTATAAAATTTGGTGTGTTATATTCTCTGGTGAGGGGGCAAGCTTTGCATGTACATGACTTAATTTTTGTTTGAAAGATTCTGCTGAAGCCAGTTTAATAAGTTTATATTCGTCCTGTGTGTAGACATTGAATTATCTCAATATTGGCTTATCTACATACATGTAGCAGTATAAATTTTCAATAAGGTCAGATTGACATTCGGCTAAACAAATCAACACATATAAAATTAACTAATTTATTATTTGCCCAAATTAAAGAGGTATAGTTATTCTAAATTATAAAGCGGTAGTTATTCTAAATTAAATAGAAATGGACCTGACAATTTTGAGACTGGACTTTGGGAGATTATCACAAACGCAATTTTTCAGACATAACTCAATACCAGCCTATTTCCTCTAACTTTGACCTACATACATAATACATGTGTACGTCTACTTTTAAGTCTTCTAAAAGACTTTGACTTAACACTGATTGATTTGTACATATTCCATAATAAATACAAAGAGTCAAAGAGAAAGCCTTAAAAAAATCAATTTGATTGATTCATAGGGTTTTAGAAGTGATTGATAAAATGGATAAGTATAAAGTAAGCATAGGTTCCCATGTTAAGCTCTATTTCATAGGTACATGTCATGTACTCATGTAGTTGGTCCTTACACAGAATATAATTTAACCTTGAAAAGACATTATAGGCATGCATGACATTCATGTCCTTACATCGCCTTTTACATTTATATAGAACATCTACCATTGGCACAGTTTAAGAGAATGTTTTTTCGTTGTCTTATTAATTCTTGACAAGTCATAAGAATCAAATATTGTAATGTTATGTAACGGTCCAAGCAGATTATGTGATTGACAGTACAAAAACTCAAAACCCGGCAAGTGTGGTGGTTTGACAAAACCAAACGCGCTGGTTTATGTCCATGCATTCGAGATGCCTTTTACCTGTTCTTAACAAATTTTACAAAAACGCACCTTTGCTGAGGTCGAAAGTGATCGTCTTCCGACATTGAATGTGTTTCTGCTTATGAATGCAAGCATTTTGTCTGATACCCCGCAACCACAGCACCGGTTCAAGAATATGGCGAAGAAGAGGAAGTGACGTTGAAAAGTAGTTCTTAAGTAGGAAGTGAATAATATTTATACGCCCTTGACAACATAATACTTTTAATATTTTTTAATAATGACTATTTTGGTTAGAAACTGATTTAGAACACTCCACATATACAACTTTGTATTGTAGATTTATCTAGTTATAGTTGAGGATTGAATTAATATCACTCAAAACGTCTCCTGAGACAAAACTATTTTTTGAAGCGGGGCAACACTTGTTTACATCATGTGTTAACGGGACTGTCATCTGCTAGCATCTGAAGAGGATCTGTTTACATTTTAATTTTGGAAAAGTTTGTGACTTTCTGGAAATATTTCGAGATGGATGGTCTTAGACTTCTAGAACCATGTGATTTATACAATATGTTACAACAAGCGACTGTCTATTCATGTTTAAGTGATCCAAATTACCTACTTCTCATGGGTGAGTGTCACAATTAATAAATATATACACGGTCCATGTTTTAAGTAACAATTACTTACAAAATGTACATGTATTTAGATCTCTGTACCCTAGAGCTGCATCTGGCAATAGTTAACTTGCCTGAATCCAGAATCACATATATTGAGCTTGATACTACTGAGTGGATACTTCTCGAAAAGTCGTGATTTTAGAGTAAAACCAGTGATTGTTTCCCACAAAAACTGTGCCCACCGACACTATATATAGAGGGCCACCGCACATCCTCATTTAAGCCTGAAGAGTTCGAATAAGAACAAAACTAGTAGCTGAGAAAAATCTGGGAGGGCTGTTCGCCTATTTATAGATTTTTTACTGTGTTCTGCTAAACTAAAGATCATACATTTTTCTGTAAAAAAGCAATGACAGATTGTTATTACTGTATTTATTCAATTTTCTCAAATCAAGGCTAGATACAATAATATCCTACCTGTTAAAAACACACGTTTTAATTATTCATTATTAATCAAAACGGGGAAGGTAGCTTTCAAGTCTTCAAATCAAACTCGCTAATATTTGAGACCTAGAAATTGACTCAAATGGGTCGCAACACATATAATAATGTATTATGATTGTACAGTAATGTAAACTGATTCACATTTAACAGTTTCTGATTTTACTGTAATCAGTTATGTTCGGCGAAATACGTCTCAACCGAATGGCAATCTCTAGCATCTGGTTATTCCAGTCTACACTGATAGTATGTATTGTGTATTCTCCCCAGATAAGAATATGGAGTCACCGTTTGACATGACTTGTGGAATATGCCTTGTCTTGTTCTTCGAGTCCCTTGTTATTAATAAAAAATAAATAATCTACAAATTTGTCAGAAAGCATATTAAGCTTACGTATTTAGAAGTTTATTTTTTGTAAACAAGTAAAGGTACCACCGCCAACTATATTTGGTAATCAAATGACTTGTTTTAATCATTCAAGATGAAAATTTTCTCTTATTTTTAGAGATTGTCCCGTCATTAATTGAAATATCACACCAGATCATTTAAAAATACTTTATAGCTATACCTGAATCAAAAAATAAGTGCAGGAGAACTATTATTTTAACTTATTTTTAAATATTTTCAGATGCCAGAAAGAAACATGAATATAATGAAAGTCATATAATTACAGCGAAAAAAGCACCAAAAGTATGTACATTTATTGTATAGTCTATGGTGTTAATGCTGGGCAATATTTACGTGTACTAGGATTTTACAATAACAAAACATGATCAATATTGTAAAGGATTTCCTTAAAGATATATTATGTTAGATTTAGATAAAGAGCTCGCCATTCTTGCTATAATAGTTTGAAAATAGATAATGTAAAATTAATAATTTGAAAATTTCATTCAAATTACTCTATTGCGAGTGAAGATATTAGGCTTTGAAGGTTTGACAAGACGTGTGCAATAATTTCAACCAACATACTGGTTGTTCAAAGCTCAGTCTCGCTCCTCCATTTTAGCTTAAATCAAAATATGGCTGAACTGTTCTAATCTATTTAATATCAGAGAAATCTGATGCCATCGAGAGTTGATTATGGTCTGGATTAATGTCTAATTAATAATTAAGAAAACATTTCAGGCCTAAAGAAAGACCTGCAATAGGCAGATTTAGCTCTTGCATAATGTATGTTTGATTTTAAAAAAAGCAATGCATTGCGGTATTCATTTTAGCACTTTATTGAACTAAGGAAACAAAAGTAGGCCTACTTTACAGAGCTCTACGTGTTCATTAGATTTAATACAGCAGATTTTATTTTAAGATTCATTAATAAGAATAGGCCTAATTAAAATCCTGGGCCCTGTTTCTCGAAATCTTAACTAAAGATAAAATCCAAATTTTAGTAGATACTTCAATTTTGATTGGCTAAGCACTAAAATCAATCTAATATTATCCAATCAAATTACCAAAATTTGGATTTTATCTTAGTTCAAATTTTGTGAAACAGGCCCCTGCTGAAAATATTAATATATATTAATACAAAACATAGCAGTAATTCTTACTGCATCAATAAGTAGATTTATTGAATCTACTAAGTAGTAGGCCTACTTTACATTTTCAGTATCATTATCATGTTATAAACTTTTAAAATCATTACATTTTCAGTAGTATTTATATAAATTTGATTATTAAATTTTCAATATTATTTATATAATGTTTTAATATTAAATCATTGCATTGTCACTTTCAGTATGAATTTTAATACATATTTTTTATTTTTAAAAAATAATATTTCATGATACAAATGTACATGTGTTTTCCTTTTCAAAATGATTTATAATTTAAAAAAAAAATGTTCTTTTAGCAGAAATTAAGCCACAGTCTTACAAACGAAACCCTCCAAGATTCTAACATGAAATATAAAGAATTAATTTGTTGGATTATTTAGTCGGATATGAGAATATATTGTCATAATTGTTTGGATATCTGAATCATATTCTGGAATCATAGAAGTGTGCTAGAATGAAGGTAGGGTCATGTGTTTTCTTTGGGTCCTCCCATTGCTAAAGACCCCTATGTGCAAGCGAATTATTGAAATAAAATTGAACCATATGTTAGTCCCAAAATGACCTAGTTTGTGTCAAGTGGATGTTAAACCCCATTTCTCTATCTCTCTCGCTAGAAGAATGAAGATGGTGGGTTTAAGAAAGGGTAATTTTGTGTTTTTCTAGAATGAAGATGGTGAGTTTATATGAAAGGGTAATTTTGTGTTTTTCTAGAATGAAGATGATGAGTTTATATGAAAGGGTAATTTTGTGTTTTTCTAGAATGAAGATGGTGAGTTTATGATACCCTATGATGCTGAACTAGAATGTAAACAGACTATTGTTGTATATGACAGTAATACAGAATCACCCAAACAAGAAGGTAATACAATAGACTCATTCATTAGCTTATCCATATTGAAAAAAAACCCCACAGTTTCTAATAATAATATACAGGTATCAACTCATAATCTTTTCATGTATAAAAGGGATATCAGCAAGAAAATGTGTCTATTAAACAAACCACACTTAAAGATGCATTATATAAGATTTAGTTAAAGAGCTGACCGGTCTTGCTATAATACTTCCGAAATGGATTATTCAAAATTAATGCACTAAAAATTTTATTTAAATTACTTCGTTCTGAGAAAATAAATGTCTTAATGATAATTTATATAATATTTGAAGCCAAAATAAAAACCTGAATTAGGCCGATTTAACTCTTGAATAATGCATGTTTAAAACTCTTAATAGTTTCATTGTAGGCGACTTGGACATAGTTGATTTCGCATTTAAGGTCATAGAACAGATAACATCGTAGATAGGACAAGGTCATATGCATGTATAAAATAATGTCATAGAACTGATGACATCATGGTGACCATAGTTATTCCATAAAGATAACATCATACATGCGATATATCACATACAACAATAAAATAACATCATAGATATAATAGCATCATACAACTACATCATTAGATTTATAAAACAGCTTCACAGAGAAGAAAAGATGTATGTGCATAAAATAGCGTCATAGATGTAACATTTATGCATGGGTCATATGGATGAAATAACGTCATAGATAATGTAACATTTATCCATGGGTCATAATATGTATAAAATAAGGTCATAGATAAGACAACAAAGTAAACTAAGGTCATAGAAAAAACACCGTCATAATATGTATGAATGAAATAACGTCATAGATGAAATAACTTTGCTCACTACACTTTGCTCACTACACTTTATTATTTTAGCGTTTCCGAGATTCTATCCGCATATCGCCCTTATTGATGACGTCAACTGGCAGACTATCACCTTTAAAGAGACGACCACATCGGTCCCATTATTCTGTTACGTCTTTTTTTTTTCGTTTTGAGTGAAACCTGTACCATTAGAGGCCCGGGACTGTACAGCGCAGTGAACGCGTTCGGCTGGCCCCCGGGTCCATTCACTTGATTTGATATTTGTTTTGCGTGTAGTGTGGTCCTCCTGCATATTAATAGAGAAGAAACAGCATACATATAAAGTAAAATAACGTCATAGATAAAACAAAGTCATATGCATGAATGAACAACGTCAAAAATGATTTTAATAACATCATAGATTATGAAATAAAACCAAGTACGAACAATCCAAACCATTAGACAAAATTCAAAGTCCTAAAAAAAACGGTATAGACAAAATAGTTTAATCAGCAAATGGACTAAATAGATATAAATAAAAATAACGTCATTAAATAAAAAGAACTTACATCTCCGACTTGATCATACATAATAATATGTATAAAATATAAGGGGTTCAGCTAGTGGCCGAGAAATTTGGAGCTGTGTAGAATGTGATAGAGTTGATTTGCATCTAAATCACGGGATATGTTAGGGCAGTGGTTCTCAACCTTGGAACACATGAAAAAGTAGCAGCACACCTAGTTAAATATATATGAAAAATATCCGAGTGTTGAAAATAAAAACATACAACTGTAGACACAGACTAGTCATAGAATGACTCAAACTAAATAAAGAAAAACAGAGCTATGACCTTACTTTATTGCAGTGTTTCGAATTTCATCAGTCAAATAACTGGCTTCTTTAGTGAGAAATTTTCTTAGTCTGCCGTTCAAAATTTCTCGGCACACTTAGGAAGATCTCGCGGCATACCTGTGGGCAGCGTAACACTGGTTGAGAATCACTGTGTTAATGAAGTTCAGAATCTCAAAGCCAGGTATTCTATTAACTCCATTAAAACCCTGCGATTTCTCTCATTTGAGATGGGGCTCAAAAACCCAAGGTGACATAAAAAAATCTAAACCCATGACGCAAACCACGGCATTGGGTCCCCGTCACTGAATCCCAGATATGATAGCGTTGTAGATAAAATAGCACCATAGATAAAATAGCGTCATAGATAAAATAACAGATATATAGCGTCATAGATAAAATAGCGTCATAGATAAGATAGCGTCATAGATAAAATAACAGATATATAGCGTCATAGATAAAATTACATAGATAAATAGAACACGAGTACAAGAAAACGCCATAGAAAAGAATAAATTCATAGACAAGATAACGTCATGGTTGGAATAACGTTAACCGTAAGTGTGAGAAATAGCTTTATTTAACGTCCGCTTCCACCGAGGTGATATCGCAGACAAGTTAACCGTAAGGCAAAGCCATAGATAAAATATTAAATGGGGTTTAAATGTTCTACTTTTCTGCACCGACTGGATTAATGCAGACGGAAATAACGCCATATTTAAGATATGGTTATAATGAAACTTGGCGGCAGTATTTTACAATTAAAATATATATAATGTTATATAATTGTAGTTTCTATAGCCTGCTTGAAGATCAATAATATAAAATTCACTGTTGCACCCACATTCTATTTTTTGTGAATTTTATGAACAACTATATTTAACGTTCGCTTCCGCAGTTAAATGGACATTATTGGAGATTAGATAAAGAGCTGACAGTTCTCGCAATAATAGTTAAAAAATATATAACGTAATATAATATGCTGAAAATTTCATTCAAATTGCTTCACTCTGGCAAAAAGAGAAAATATTAAAATTCCAGATGAAAGTTTCACGGTAATCCTGTTATATGTCATTTTCGCGCATTGTATGCCATTCGGAACTGAATATATTTCGTATATGATCAGATATTATGTAATTATTCTTGTATTACACGCATGCGTGCCATTCAAAAGGATATGAAATAATCTTTTCGTCGCGGTAGGGGCCCCGCTCGGGTTAAGCTGGGCTTTGTATGCAATGTGTCTTTTACAATAAAGATTTATATATTTTTTTGAAATATTATGACACTTCATTGCTTAGCCTTTATGTTTGTCGCATACATGTAACTTCCGCCTGGTAAAAGCCAGACGAAAAATATTATGTTGCTGGGTTTTTTAAAATATAGAAATAAAATATTGTATTTTATTTTTAGCACCTGCTACAGATTACAGCAAGTTATTATGGGAAATGGGAAGTCGTAATAAAGTTTACATATTAAAAGGTAGGTTTATGTTTGATGTAGTTTTTTTAAAACAATTATTTTATAGAAAATTATTGGTGTTGAAAGAGGGAACTTTTATTAAATCGATTTTAAACAATCGGTGTTAAAACCAGTAGTTATAATGGTTTTAGAATTGTTTATTCCTTAGTTTTGGAGTAAATCGAAATCTCCGATATAAAATTTAAATGGCCCGGTTATTAAAGTATCTATGCGTGATTTGCATTGTTTGGAAAATATCAAGTTTTTCATGGCTTAATCTACACTAATGTTCACTCATATTGATTATTTAACTTTTAATTAAGAAAACAAAATCAGAATACCAACGCTACATTCAATCCAATCAGATCTATCAGATTGGTTCCCTGCAAATAAAGATGGCGACGGCTTGTTACAAAGGGAACAGAATAGATGATGAAATTTTCATTTCGTCATATCATAGAACTAGAATACTAATGTCATATCTTTGTAAATGCTGAAGGGATTTGGTTCATTTTTGACATTCAGCTTTCACAGTGTTGTATTTTCTTCTATAGCGCTAAAATCACGCACAATCTTTAATTAATTAATGCCCAATGTCTTTTTTGTAGGTGGTTATGAAGATTTTTCAGCACTTTATCCTTTCTTACGAACACAGAAGATAATGTACATGCCTAGGGTGAGTAATTCATGTCAAGCCCTATTAGTAAACACATAATTTACATAAAAACAAATCTACGGACAAGACACAATACGCAGAAATCACAAAAAGACGAACATATCAAATTAAGTGAATAGATCCGGGGGCTAGCCGTAAGCTAAGATTGAACCCTCTTATTTCGAGCAAATGCCTGTCATCGTATCAACGTTGGGATTTTTCAGAAATCAGAATTATTTCAGTCATTGTTTTTTAAGGCAGCAATCACTCTCGAACACTTTCCGCGCACCGTATTGTCGATCGTATCCCTCCCCTTAAAACTGAAAATAGCTCTCCTTTACAAGTCATGGGGGGGGGGGGCTTATTATCATTTATGAAACTAGGAATGACCCGAAAACATGCAGGTATTGATCTTCAGAACCATTTCCCATACACACAATTAATCACTCTCCTTAATATCAGATCACTCTTCTGTTCGAAACTGGCAGAGCTTTTTTAGAGGAGTGATTTTTTTTCAATTTGTCGATTAAGGGGAGTTTTTCTCGGCTACCCTCTAAAATATAAATAGCAACGACTGTATTTTAACGTCTCCGATGGACGAATCCTTGTTTTTATATACTTCATATATTATGTAATATTAATATTTCCTGGGGAGCCTGATTCTCCACTAAATTTTATAATTCGATTGCTCACTGTAGAAGAATTGAATCAAAATTGTATGTGAATCAGAATCTGACATTAATTCATTTATAGACTGCTGCTGTTCTAAATTGACAACAGTCAGTCACTAGTGTAGTTTTTGAGTCAACGCATGTAAGCTGTCCTGAACAAACTAACGAAAATCCAAGGTGACAGTTGGAATTCGACAAAGAGCATTTGAAAACACTGCAGTCCATGTAAATTTATTTTCTTAGTATTTTATATGTTGCAGTAGGTAATACAAATTTGTTTAGTCGTCGCCAAATGACAAAACTATTGTCTTGACGAGCCGTTGATTGTAAACCCCTAAAATCCCATTTCACAGTATTTTTTATTTAAAGGAACTGGATGATCTAAAACCATACCCTACAGAAATTATTCCCGGTTTCTTGTATCTAGGCAACTGGCGTCAAGGTAACGCTCCGTATATACAGAAAGATTTAAAGATCAAGGGTCACATAAACTGTGTTGTTGAAGCCGAAACTTTGTAAGTATTCTATTTTAAAAATCTAGCACAGATTTCATACAGAACGCCCGGGCACAAATATTAGTGGCGTAATTTATATTTTATATATAAAAAAAGAACACACCATATATTCATAAAAAAAAAAAAATAATAATTTACCGATGCTGCCTTCGAAAAATGTCGTTTCGGACGAGTTTCGGACTTGATCTTTAACATATCGTAAATGTCAACATGACTGAAAAACTGCTTTAATTACAGATGAAAATAACATCGTACCGAAACAGCTTTAACCCGGGTTTCAAATGATATTTTAATGGAAATTGATAATAGAAAATGTACATTTTTAATTTTATTAGATTCATCTGCTGCTTTCGACACGGTGGACCCTTCCATTCTTCTACGTAGACTTTAATTTAAATTCGGTATTTGTGACATTGCATTAAATCTTTTAGAAAGCTATCTTGTGGGTAGAAAACAGTGTATTTTAGTTAATTGTAAATCCTCGTCTGAATCTGTTTTGTCATCTAGGGTTCCTCAACGTTCTGTTCTTGGTCCGATTTTATTTACCCTCTATACGTCACCATTAGGTGATATTGTCAGAAAATATGGTCTCAGCTTTCATTTGTGTGCCGATGATACTCAATTATATATTTCATTTACACCTAAGTGTCCATCTTCTTCCAATTTATCAAAATTGCAACTTGGGAACTGTATTAGTGAAATTAGAAAATGGATGTCAAAGAACTTTCTAAAATTGAATGATGATAAAACCGAATATTTTTTATTAGGCCCAAGGCTTCAATTAAGTAAATTTGCACATATAACCCCCCACCCCCATGTTGTAATTGGTAATTGTGATATATTTTCATCTTATTCTGCTCGTAATATTGGCGCAATCTTTGATAGTTTTATGCTTATGGGAGCTCAAATAAATAATTTTTGTAAATTATGCTATTTTAATATCAGAAATATAGGTAAAATACGTAAATTTGTAACTGTAGAGGCCACTAAGTCACTTGTTAATTCTCTTGTCACTTCTCGATTAGATAACTTTAATTCACTTTTAATTGGTTTACCTTTAAAGCTTATAGATAAATTACAAAAAGTACCGAATACTGCAGCTAGACTTGTTACTTTAACTAAGAAATGTGACCACATAACTCCTGTTTTATACAATTTACACTGGTTACCTGTTAAATATCGCATTGATTTTAAGATTTTATTACTTACTTTTAAATGTTTAAATAATTTAGCTTCTGTGTACCTCTCAGATCTTTTAGAACTTTATACACCTGGGCCCTGTTTCACAAAAACTTAAATCACCTTAAAATCTTCTTAAACTAAAATTCCATTCTAACTTAAGATAGATGCGTTTCACAAAACGATTTTAAGCATTTTAGATAAAATCCACTAAAATAATATTGTAAGTTAAAATTGTATCTTAACTTAAAATAGTGGCGTTTCACAAAGCAATTTTAACTAAAATCTATTAAAATTGCATTTTAAGTTACAATCGATCTTCATGAAACGTATAAAATTTAAAATTTCAGTTTGATTTTAGTTAAAATCGATTTGAGTGATTTTAGTTTAATTTTTTTGTGAAACAGGGCCCTGGCCGAACATTACGTACATCAGATAAACTACTTTAAAAGCCCAAAACTGTTCAACTAGTCTCTTACGGTCGTGGAATACTTGCGCAGGGATACACCTCTTGAACCATTGAATAACCCGAGCGGTATTCAATGGTCATTGGGTTCTATCTATATATTAAACGTCACAGATAAAATAACGCCATAGATAATTAATTTCGGCATAGATAAAATAACGTCATAGATAAAATAACGTCAAAGATAAATAATTTCGTTATAGATAAAATAACGTCATAGATGAATAATTTCGTCATAGATAAAATAACGTCATAGATAATTAATGTCGTCATTGATAAAAGGACGTCAATTATCATCAATGTCATAGATTAGATAATGTCATAGATAATTAAGGTCTTCATAGATTAAATATTATAATAACGTCATACATAATTAATGTCATATTATATTATATAAAATAACTTTATAGAAAATTGCAAGCAGTGGAAAACGACGACAACTCTCGTAAAGTCGGTCTAATGTAGCTAGAGACTAGTAGTAGGGGGACATCTAAACTGGGATCTCAACGGTTCGGGAAGAAGATGAAATATGTAGAGAAGAAACCCCCTCAAGGACACCACTTTACACCAATAAATTTGTTTATTACTACCAAGGAGTTCGTCTAATATTCACTGGTTATAGGGGTTGCTTCTCAAATGTGATTATTTATAGTCAAATTGTAATTAAAAAAGGGCGTATCATACTTATTATAAAACACCCCCGTATTTATATGTGAATGGCGTGTACCGTGTAGATAAAGAGGAGCCACAGTGGACCAGTGGGTAGAGAGTTGGTTCACAAACCAGGAGATCAAAGGTTCAATCCCAGTGTTGGTCGGAAAACCCCATTTCCTTTCCTTTCATTTACTTACGTTTTGATATATATAATAAACTTTATATTAATTTTATTTCCAGTTTTCCAGAATCCGGTCCATTTTTATATCACATCCAAGTTGAAGATACGAATGACGCAGATATTTACAGTCATTTTGCAGCAGCTTGTGCATTCTTAGGTAAATATTTACTATAGTAGTAATTTTTTTTAAAAAGATTTTGTAAATAGTATTAGTATTATGTTGTTTTTTGTTTTTTTGTTTCTAACGGCAGCTAATCTTCAGTTGCTTTTCAGAAAACACAACATATATATTATACAATTTCCCAAACACAGTTGTCTTCCCTTGAAGTCAATGGATAGCGGGACTTGTGTGGAGAATGCATATTATATTTATATATCAACGGTAGACAATCTCACGGATTGGATTCGGTCGAATTAAGAAGAGAGGGGCATAGCGTAATAACATATTTCTTCACATGCTACGAATCGTCTTCGGAGGGGTCGATGGCCGAATGGTTAGCACGTGCGCGTTGTATAATAAGGTCTTTCATTGAGTCAACTGGCGTGGTTTTGATTTCCCGGTTGTACGTGACAATGAGTAGGGTCGCCTGTCCAAGCTCGTTTGTTTTTTCCGAGTCCCCCGGTTTCCTCAATAATTTGCTTGGGTGTAGGGGTCTTTAACAGTGGGAGAGCCCGGAGAAAACCCACGAGGTTGAACAGGCGACCCTACCCCTTGTCACGTACAACCGGGTAATCGAAACCACGCCAGTTGACTCAATGACAGACCTTATGATGCAACGCACACGCGCTAACTGTTCCGCCCCACCCCCTCATAAATAATCAGCCTAACGTGGATCAAACTGTGAAACAATAGATATTGTTTTTGTTTTGTTTTTAATTTCTGTTTTTATGTCTTATATGTTTTTTTATATATTTTTTTTATATAATGTCGTTTTATATATTTTTTTATATAATGTCGTTTTATATATTTTTTTATATAATGTCTTTTTTTTTTAACTTTAAATTTTTATTTTTAAATTTGTTTCCATTCTGATATTGTATCGTTGTAAACGCGCTGTATTATTATTATTATTGCCCGAAATAATTATTTATTTGTATGTTTTTTTAGATACTCATCGGGAAAGTCGGAAAGCAGTTTTAGTATTTTCTAACCTGGGTATCAGTCGATCAGTGACTGTTGTGGTAGCGTATTTAATGTATCATAATAAATGGACGCTACAGGTAATTTTAATTATTGATCTTCAATATCAGAAATATGACGGTGTATCTGGGACAACTATTTAACAAGCCCGGTACAATACCTTTCTGTGACGCCCTTTCCCCCCTCCCCAACATAGCATAGACTCAACACACCGTACTTTGGATAGTAACCCTACAACTGATTTCAGGTAGGCATAACGCAAAGTACTTCCGGTAGGTATAAAACCACGTGCGTCGGGTGGACATAGCATAACGAATTTCTGGTAGACATCGCACAACACCCTACGGATAGACGACTCAGAAGGTACTTGGGATAGACATTGTACGACGTACTGCGGGTAGGCATAACACAATGGATCCACTAAGACTCTGGCTCGCTAGCTTGGAGGTCGCGGGTTCGCTCCCGGTGTTGGCCGAAAAAGTTCATCGGGATTTTCCGGGGTGGGTTTCCCTTGTCAGTGGTGCAGGGCGGAGGGCCTGACACGGACAGCTGTCTAGTCGTTCAGGTGAAAATATGGGATCCAAATATCCAATATTTAATGTTGTTGTTCTTTTTAATTATTTTTCAGGAGGCGTATGATCGTGTATTAAAGTGTTGTACGAATATTCGACCTAACCGTGGTTTCATAGAACAACTATCAAACTGGGAAGTCGAATTATTTGACACAAAGAAAACAGACATCAGCGATCCCAATTTTTAAAACCCCAAATACAACATTGTTTTTAATGATCATGTGGTATGTATTGTTAAAAAGACAATGGGCGTGAAGCCAAAGAAAACAGACATCAGCTATCCCAACTTTTAAAACCTCAAATACAACATTGTTTTTAAAAATCATGTGATATATTTATTGGAAGACAATGGGCGTGAAGCCACAGTTTTTAACATTATGAAAATAAACAAGCAAACAAAAATAACATATTGTTGTATAACAAACTGACTTTTTGTTTCTCACTTCTCAGTAGTAAGGCAGAGACTTCATACCACACGTGCAGAAAAGCACAGGTGCCTGTAACGTGGAAAATGAATTCCAACTGCCAAGGGATATTTTACGTGCACGCCAATGTGTACACGGGACCTCGGTTTTTCGTCCCATCCGAACTGTAACGTGGAATATATTTCAAAAATAACATCAAGCTATAACTAAGTATAATGTCTAAAGTCTGTTACGTCCATGTTCGTAAGCGAGATTTTTAAATAAATGGTCTGATTCCGATTTCTAACTCAGGGGCAAATAACTCGTCTGAAACCGATTCTCTTTCAGTAGGCTAGATATAATACCAAGGAGGTGAGAAACGGGTTGGAATAAAATAATTGGGATCAAAGTTCACTACTCTAGATTTCGTCAACCAGTGGCTATACTCACTAATTTTCGCTAGGTAGACAATCGAGTCTACGATGACGTTTCAAAATTATCCATGTGACTCTCTCTCTCTGGTTTAGTTTTGATTCACCACTTGGAGGTGACAAGGAGTAGGGTCGCCTATCCAACCTCGTCTGTCGGTTTTCTCCGGATTCCGCGTTTAATGAGATACAATTAAACCATATGTTAGTTCCGAAATGACTTCTATTCATTCATACCACATATACAGGCTGACACATGGCCCTGGCAAGGGACAACGTTGAGTTGTTTGGATGGTACAAAAATACATAATTTAACTTTAATTACTTGACACCTTAACATTATCTGTGGGATACAACTACTGGATATGTATTATTGTGATTTGATCTGTATACGGAAATGAAATGGGGTTTAACGTCCTGTTATGACCCGACTAATGATGACGGGCATACATCATACAGTGTGCTATGAGGGACATTCTGCCAGAACAGCGGCGCTATGGCCTACTCTTATAACGAATGCCAACTGCCAAGGGTTCTTTTCAGTGTACGCCAATGTGTTCACGGGACCTCGGTTTTTCGTCCCATCCAAATGACTAGACAGCTGTCCTTGCCAGGTCCTCCGTCCGAAACCATTGACGAGGGAAACCCCGCCAGAAAATCCCGATGAACTTTTTCGCCCAATACCGGGACCTCCAGGTTAGCGCGCCAAGGTTACTGGGCCACCGCCCCCCCCCACCACCACCACCAAATTTAAAAAAAAAAATGTTAGTTGACATAATTAATAACTACAAGTTGTAAAAATCTTTGTTTTATTTCACTCCACAACATGAATTTACAAAATATGATTCTAATTATAATTATGTATTATTTGTTTGTTAAAAAAATAAATAAATAATGTTAACTGAACACTTTCTCGTCTGCGTTTTTCCCCCCAAAAAATCGATAAATATATTTACATCATTACGATGGTTAGACTTATTTACAAACATGTATAATTATGAAGTTTATATACAAATTTACCCATCAACAACTGGATTTAACGAAAATCTTAAAATAAAACATTTGGGAGATTCTAACATCCCTTGCAATCGGATTAAAATACAGATCTATATTTCGTTTCGTTTTTTTTTTATACTTTCGATGGCCTACACTACATGAAGATCTGACCGGTTGTAGTGGAAGGTCGAGTCAGAGATCACACGAGTGGCTTTTGACCCCATGACGTCAGGCATTTGATTAACCAATCAGAATTGATGTTACTAGTGGATTACCCACAGTTCCGTGCAAAACACGCCTAAAGCTCGCCGTAACAGACCGGTTCATTGCCCAAGCCCTCGCACCATTCAGAACACGTCAATGATAACAACTCTTCCAGATCGTAGTGTAGTAAAGACATGTAAAACGGAATTCTGAACTATAAAAAACGAAACGAAATAGGATCTGTGTTTTAACCAGATTGCTTCCCTTGTAAACTACAATATTGTGAAAGTTAAATCTCTAAAGGAATATCAGTCCAATAATGAAATAGTTCCTTTCAGAATTTACAAAAATATGATGTACAGAAAATTTCACGGGAAATGCGTTTTGCAAGCACTTCTGGGAGAAATCTAGGTATCATATTTTCCAAATTTATGCTGCTATTTTGACTATAAGACATACTACTGTACTACACAAGACACTCATGATAGGTCTGCTTAATATAATGCTAATACAATGTATTTCTATCCAAATAATAAATTGCATCTTATACATATCGAGGCATGAATACATTTACTAATCGTTGTGTATGTATGATTTTTCGCGTGCGCACTCTCACTTTTTTTTAGGGGATTCCGCGTGAAAATTAGAGCTCTCAGGCTTATACGGGTGGACTTATTGTTTAATGGGGGCCTGGGAGGACACCGTCCTCCTAAACTTCCTGCCAGCACGCCCCTGAAGACAAACCAGCGTCAGCTAAGTTTCAGGTAAAATTGTTTGAACGACCCCCCTTTTAATTTAATTTTGTTTTATTCAATAAATGTCAATGGCGTCGAGTAAGCCATCAAAAATTACATGCATATAGTATTCGAAAATTGCAAATGACGATCTGTGGCCAAAAATGATCAATGCACGATAGAAAGATTTTGAATCTTAATATAATATACTGTCATGAAATACAGGCTATTAATTTAAAATATCCCTATTTGGATAGAAAATGAAATTATGCAATTTATAGACCTAGCTTTTTAAAATAAAGGTCGACTTCGATATGAAATTAAAAGTTTTTCTCTGCCGCCGATATTTGTAAGTAAGAAGTTCTCCAGACAAGATAAATACATCTAACAATATTCTACTAGTGACCATTTTTGGCATGTAATAACAACATTGTAGTGGATGACATTTCTAGGCTATGCAAATACTTTTCCGAAGTGTGCATTATTAAATATTTGACAACTATATGGAAACTAGCCTTAACACTTTTGATCAACCAATTGAGCATATCCTATTTCGTTTCGTTTTCTTTTGGTTCAATTTTCGTTTTGTTAGTCTTCAGGACAGTGGGGTCCGGAAGGCATTTTAAATAAACCGCGTTCACTTGATAAAATGGGAGTGCCGTTTGTTTTGTCGAGCTTCAACTGAGGTGTGCACTGAATTATGAGAGACATATGTAGAGCAAACAAATTAAAAGTCACACATAAATAGTTTGCTTCGTCAAATCAAAGTTCATCGAAATCATGAAAAAAAAAGAACGAAACGAAATATAGATCTGTATTTTAGTAAGATATTTGCAGCAGAGACTTTTTAATATCATTTTAATTTGTTTGGTGAGAAGTTTTCTTATCTCCACAGTCAACATTAGAACGATAATCACAGTAACTTTTATTGAATACTAAACCTGCAGGACAGGTCTGGACATACGGAACCCCGAAAGCACAATTTAAGTACTGGTTGCAGAAGTGGGGATGAGGGAATAGACCGTATTGTTGGGGACACTTGACCTTACTCCAGCACGTGACGAATTCTTTATGGTTACATCGTTCGATTTGGGGATCATATAAAGTTCCGCCAGCACACCTGGTTCGGATTCTACCGGTCTCTGTGCACTGTATAAAGTAGGCGCAGTTGTTTTTGTCTTCATAGAAACCGGAACTAGGTGGAGGACACGTCATCTCAATCTGTTTGGGTGGTGGAAGCACCTCTGTAAAAACAAACAAACATATATGAAGAAGAATATATACTAAATTGTTTCAATGGCATTTCGTCCCATGCGAACGACTAGGCAGCTGCCCTTGTCAGGCCCTTCCTCCTGCACGAATGACAAGGGGAAACTACGTCGGAAAATCCCGATAAACTTTCTCCGCCAATACAGGGATCGAACACGCGTTAAAATTAGTTAAAATTTCGTGAAACAGACCCCTGTTTTACAGAAGATTACGAAAATCTTCTAATATCTCTGTAAAAGATGACTGCCTTCAACACGTGACGTCAGATCACGCGACGTCAATCATTGGCTCAATGGCGCGTGCATTGTTTACATAAGACGTTACTGAATCGGGCAGTTCAATGGTGCCTTTTACCCATTTCAATACCCATTTGCACTAAATAGGAAATAATTTTTACCTACACATATTTTTCTAATACATAAAAACAATGTTTCAGAATTTAATTTGTCGGAAAAAACAAGTTAATATTTTTGGCTCATTAAGTCGCATCGATGTCATCCTTATCAGTGATTGTAGAGGCCCAGCGAATATTTACTGCTGATCAGTGTGGTATTTCATATGTACACTGAATGGCACACACTGATCCGCAGTGAATATTTGCTTGGCCGCGACAATCACTGATAAGGATGACATTGATGCGGCTTAATGAACTCGAAATATTAACTTTTTTCCTGCGACAAATTAAATTCTAAAACATTTTTTGTATATATTGGAAAAATAAATAAAGGCGTTTGACGTATTTGTAGTTAAAAATTATTTCCGATTTAGTGTAAATGGGTATTAAAATGACTAAAATGCAGCATTCTCTCCGAAGCAGTTATGTCTTATGTAAACAATGCACGCGCCATTCAGCCAATGATTCACACCGCGTGCTGTGACAGCACGTGTTAAGGCAGTCATCTATGACAGAGACATTATACGAGACTCGTAATTCTATGTGAAACAGATCGTGAATGGCAATGTTCAGGTGTCACTTTTTCATAAATCGGGTCGCTGTTGTGGTAAACCTAAAATGTCTTTCGGATTTACGAATAGTTCAATGGTCGTTAATGAAAAAATACTAATCACGATTTGCTTTACCTGAAAGTAACTTAACTCAGAGAGGCAAAACATAGTAGATGAAGTCATATTGAATATGAGAAAGATTTTGCTGGGAATCCGTATTTCAAGCCAGAATATGGAGTTAATATAGGACTTTACTAAAAAAAAACCATTTTAATTCATAAATCATTCAGATTGATCATTTCTAGCTTAAGTTACAGCCACACCGCCTCCAGCCTCCAACCCAACCTTCTCCCCCACCATATAACCCCAAATCCACCCAGTCCGTGATTTAGCAGCCAACTCTACCCCTTCAGTCACCACCCCAGCGTGCCGTCTACCATCATATAGACCCCGAACTGCACCTTCCCGCACCGTGGCATGACCTCACAAAAAATGTTTGTATAAGGTTTCCTACCTGGAAAACATTTACTAGTGCTAGGTGTTACGCCAGGATCCGTCACTGAAACAGACAAAATCACATAAAATAATTTGAATGATAAAATTAAATATAATCGACATATAATAGGTTGCATATCTATATTTGTAAATACGTTGTGTTTAGGGGGTTGGATGGCCGAATGGTTGCACGTGCGCGCTGTATCATAAGGTCTGTTGTTGGGTCAACTGGCGGGGTTTCGATTTTCCGGTTGTACGTGACAAGGAATGGGGTCGCCTGTCCAACCTCGTTGGTTTTCTCCGGGTCCTCCGGTTTCCTCCCACTATTAAAGACCCCTACGCGCAAGCGAATTATTCAAATAAAATTGAACCATGTGTAAGTCCTGAAATGACCTAGTTTGTGTCAAGTGGACGTTACCCCTCTCTCTCTCTCTCTCTCTCTGTCTCTCTCTCTCTCTGTCTCTCTCTGTCTTTAACCTATTGGCAATCGGTGGACAGGATAACGCGTACGTCTTCTGAACCCTTGGTTCTGGCTCTGTTGACTCCGTATATATCCGCAGCATGGTCGTAACTAACTCAGAGCAACGAGGGGGAGGGAAGTGTTCTCAGGAGTGCTGTAAAATTGACGGACAACCTCCACGAACCTTACTCTGGTAGTCTACTGAAATGGCCGTAAAGATGTTCCATACACGCAACTTTTACTTTTAAACGTAGCCTATGCCTTTTCTACACGAAACAAGCGGTTGCCATGCAAGATACGCCCATATTATGCCAGAGTTGGACAGAAAACAAGCTAAAAACTCACTCAGGGGTCATAATCGATGAAGTTACGGTCCGATATGCGCCAATATCAGGGCTGGATTAAGACCCACAGGGGCCCTAAGCACTTAAAAGATTTTGATGCGGCCATTTATGTCATTCAAAATAAATCACTAAGCACGTGACTAGAGTTTTTCTGGGAATTTATACACGTCATAATTAATTGCGACAAAACAAGTAACAGTGTGAAAAGACAAAAACATTGAGCAACTAATTGAAAGTTCTTAATTAATTTCTAAATTAAATATGTAAAATTTGGTATCTAACAAATCAGACATGCTGTGGTGCTCACATTACTATGATGCGCTAAGAACGTGCTTTATTTTGCTTAATGATTACTCCAGCACTGGCCAAAATCGAAAGGAACCATGATCTTTGGGATATAAACGTATATTTAAGTTTCATCAAAATCGATTAAACATTGTGACCTCCAGAGTGTCCACAAGCTAAAAGCGGTCGAATAAATGCCAAAACCGAAAGGAACCGGGATATAGACCTATATTTCAAGTTTCGTCAAAATCAGACAAAAATTATTGTGACGTCTAGAGTGTCCACAAACAAAATGTGAACTTACGCACGGGCACTCACACACACACACGCGTGCGGGCGCACAGACGGGCAGAGGCAACGGCATAATACGCCTACATGTCAAGCATATGTTGGGCAATGTTTAATAAAGACAAAAGATTTCATCAAATGTATGTTTAAAATCTCACCATAACAAGTAGTACTAGCTAAGTATGGTAAAAGAACGTGTAAGCGTTGAAAATCACTCATGCTGAACAAGCGGCATCTATCTCCGGATGTTATGTCCTCAAAGCCAGGAATCAATCCACCAGACGACACAGCAAACATTTCAATTCCGGCCTTCTTAGCCCTCGCTCCAGCTTCGGCGATTCTTTTAGCAATGACATCTGGTTTTGGACCAGATAAATCTGCTGCCCCGTATGTTATAATGACACCAATCTTTGGTGTACCGGGTCGTTTGTTGTCCTTGTGGAGATCAATCATGGCGTCGATTGCCTTGACAACGTTCGATCCACCATATATGGGACGATACAACTCTCTCTGTGCCAGTAAAGATATCCTTGTGTTGATATCACGTTTGTTATGGGATGGGGTTAGACGCGTGATGATTTGTGGATCTCGACCATAGAGAATCAACCCCACGTTTGTGGCTGTTTTGGAGATGTCGTAATAATTTACCATTCCGATCAGAAAGTTTTCTAATCTGATGAACTGATCTTGAGGAACTTGCATAGGAGCACCTGCAACTGCAATCACCACATCTGCCTTGCCGTCACATTCTGAAATACATTATATAAGGTGTAAGGTGGTCAGGTGATTACTTTATAGCTTCGACCCTGAAGAGTCTGTCATTGGATACAGGGATGAGGTGTCTTAATTCCAGCACACAGGGACTCGGTAACCGCTGCCTCGCATACTAAGAGATTGTGAGTGTTGCGGCACGGATCACATGATAGTTTTATTATTGTCTTTGTACCAGACCATCTTGTGAACCTACCCATTGAAACCACCAGAAATTGGCAAAACTGGCTATAGGGCAGTCATAGTACCTGCAACTGAAAGGACTAACCCCAACTCAGATACATGCAGACATGGTCCCCACTTTCGGGGATGGTGCCGATTCCTTTTCCACGGGAAAGACGTGGGATCCGGGGTTTAAGCGTGGTAGATAGGGCCTTGACGATGACCCGCGTATTTCAATCCACTCAATATCACAAGCTAGCGCATCGAGAATTGATTATGGTCTGGATAAGTTAATTAATGTCTTATTAATAGTTTATATAACATTTCAGGCCTAAAGAAAGACCTGTGATTTAGCTCTTGCATATGTTTAAGAAAGTTGGATATTTTATTCAAATATCTATTAATACTTACTGAGACTGTTGACGTGTGTAACAGCTACAATCAATCCCACTAATATTGATATCTTCATCTCCACCATTGTTATCTGTAATAAACAGATTGAAGACATCCATTCATATCACAAGAAAATTGATATCAACAATTGGGATTCAAATTAAGCCTCCTGTGGAATTGTCAATTTTGAGTGAACAGTTTCTGGTATATGTTTACTCAAGAACATCACTTATTGTCTGGGGACGTTGTCGTGCTCGAGACAGTGCATTATTTCGACGAGAATTCTGTGTATTTCTATTTTAATTACAAAATATCATTTAACCAATTTACAAACTTGTCAGTAGTGCAGGACGGAGGGCCTGACAAAGACAGCTGTCTAGTCGTTCGGATGGTACGAAAAACCGAGGTCCTGTGTTTACATCGGCGTGCACGCAAAGGATCCCTTGGCAGTTGAAATTCGATACAAGAGTAGGCCATAGTGCCGCTGCCCGGGCAAAATTTCCCTCATAGCACACGGTGTGGCGTATGCCCGTCTTCAATAGCCTATTTCATTTCATTTTCGTATAACAAAATACTTTGTAAAATATATCAATGAAAGGTTATATTTCGTATATAATACTGTTTTGTCTACATCTTACTGTAAGTTTAGTCTAGTGACCGGCTCGCCCTAGCGATACCTATCTCGTAACCCAGTTTAGGACACTCGTTTATTAAAATTTAGTTGAAATAAGCTACAGCCCCTATAACACATCACTACGGCATTTATTAGGATAAGATTCATGTCAAAGTTTCAAAATGGCAACAATTTGTGTCATTTTTTGCGTGAAATTTCGCCAAACCTAGCTATACTGTTTAGGGGTGTCTTAGACGGCAGTCGTAATCATAGGTATATTTTTAGATGACGTCTGAGACGGCTATCCTACTCAATTTTACCTGTTTCACACCTGTATTTCATAATAACACTACAGTTTTAAACAAGTCAGTTAATTCTTACCCAAATTTCTCACCTCTTCTCTGTTCATCTATCTACACGTAACACATTATTAGCTCTACTGTTTTTATGTGCTATAAACGTGCGAGACCCAAGAGTGAGATTTTTTTAAAACTTTATTTAAATGTACTCGACTGTTTAATTTTTTTTTTTATCTCGTTTTAGTTTTAGTACAAAGGTGGGTTTCATTAAATGACAAAATAAACTTTTAGAAACTTAAAGCAAGGGCTTGTGGTGTTCTTACTCAGAGTCTTGAAGCTAACCTAACCTCTGACATTCCCATTAAACACTGATTTTAGATTTTAAGTCAATATTAAAATGGCATTTAGTAATTAAACTTGAAATACACGAGTCACGATGGCCTACAATTACTGTTTATTACGAGCAGGGGCGCCGGAACCCGGGTACCAGGGTATACAAATGGTACCCTGCCCTTTTCTAGGGTATACCCATGCCCTAATGATGAAAGTTTTCAACCTTTTTACTAGTCTATTCATTTGTGAATAATCAGGCTTTTGTCTCTTTCATTATCATGTATTTTAAAGGGTTTTATGTTGAAATTCGGAATGCTAGAGGCGCTCTAAACAGCGTTCTCGGAATGGTCAAATTTTAAAATTTTCTAGAGGCCGAGGGGAGGACCCTCCTCCCCCCCCCCTATCTTTTGGTACCCTGGGCCTCGCGCCTTTCCGGCGCCCCTGATTGCGAAACGAAACCTCGCTCAGTAATAAACATTAATTGTATTCCATAGAACTGCTTCTTTTGTATGCAAAATGAAAAGAGCAGAAAGAAACTATCTTTAAAAATACTGAAGTGGATAATCGAGATCGTAGTAATGATGATCGAGGCTAGGCCGAAAATTCAAACATTATAGGAGATTAGATAAAGAGCTGACAGTTCTCACTATAATATTTAAAAACTAGAAGCAAACTTGCTGACAATTTCTGTCACATTGATCCACTATGAACCGAGATTTTAGCGATTGAATTTTCGGCCTAGCCTCGATCATCATTACTTCGATCTCGATTATCCACTTCATGATTAAATCATGAATGAAAGTTGAGCAGCAAATCAGATCCTAATCCAATAAATATCGCAGGCTAGCGATGACATCGAGAGTTGATAATGGTCTGAAAAAGTTAATTAATGTCTTTCAGACCTAAAGAAAGACCTGCAATAAGCAGATTTAGCTCTTGCATTATGTATGTTTAATAAAAGAAAAATCATCCCTTTCGAACGACTTGGTACTGTTCATACCCACACCCTTCGTCCTGTATTACCACCCAGGGGAACCCTGTTGGAAATCCCGGGGTTTGTATTTTGGGATCAAACTGATTACTGAGTCAGCCTCCGCCCCCACCCACACATACACACACGCGCGCGCACACTCTAGCCAACTGTGGCTCTAAGTGTAAGGGGGGTGGGGGTAGCGCGTGTCCGTCATATAAGGTCTGTCATTGAGTCAACTGACGTAATATTGATTCCCCGGTTGTTCGTGACAAGGAGTAGGGTCGCCGGTCCAACCTCCGGTTTTCTCCGGATTTTACGGTTTCCTCCAACTGCTAAAGGCCCCTGTTTGTCCAGAAATAATCTGATTTGTGTCGAGTGGACGTTAAACCCCATTTCCATCTCCCTCTCTCTAAGTGCAGTAAAACGTAATAAGATCTGACTACTTCTAATAAAGAAACGCTAAAGCGTTGTTACTTTACGTGACTACACTCGAAACCACAGGGTCATATTTTAACGTCTGGATTTTTCTTAATAATCTTTTGGGTTTATTATTGTAGGAAAAAACCAATGACACCATCTTTTTTTTTATAACAGGACAGCAAAAAACACAAGCAGGTCATATATACATCCATAGTTGCAATCTGTTTCACAGTGGATTACGAAAATTCACTGCTGATCACAATCTGTTTCACAGAATATTACGAACATCTTCTAATATCTCTGTAAAAGATGACTGTCTTCAACAAATGACGTCATATTACGCGGCGTCCATCATTGGCTCAATGGCGCGTGCATGGTTTACATAAGACGTAACAGATTCGAGCAGTATGGCGCCTTTTACTCATTTTAATACCCATTTAAAATAGGGTGACCCATGTACTCACAGAAATACAGTCCACCGCTGATAGTTCGAGACTACCACTGAAGCGTGCACATTCGCCGTGCCGAGACCAACTTTCTGACAGTATGATACTATAAATAGCCATGGCACGTGCAATTGTCTACACATCTATCAACTATTACAGCCGTAAAAAAATTTATTGTTGACGATTTTGAATAGCAGTAAAATTAAGCTTCTTGGTTATTACAGCAGATTTAGAAATTACGTTCGTTTCATTTTTTAAATCGCTTTATCATTAACTGTACCGTTAAGAGCGGCATTTTTTGGTTTAGTACAAATAATATGTGTGACGCATTAAGTCACATTGATGTCATCCTTATCAGTGATTGTCGCGGCCTAGCGAATATTCACTGCGGATCAGTGTGTGCTGATCAGTGTGCCATAGTTGTAGCAATAGCCATAATGGCTAACGCTTCTTAATTCTGGATTCATTGGCAGTTGTAATTTAATGAAGAGTAATTGGAAACGCCCTCATTTGCTAAATTATAGTCCAGACTAAGCAGGGACATGGTGACCCATTATTTTTCATGAGGAACATTATTTATATGTGTGTGCGAGGAGGGGGGTCCCTCCCAGTGCCGCCGAGTAATATTGTGCTGTTTAGAATATGTTAGAGTCGATGTGTAGCCTATCTGACCCACGGTATGTTTGACACCGGTTAAGCCTTATGATTATCATTATAATGTTGAAAATCGCATTGAAACCGCGTGATTTTTGCCATTTGCGAGGGGGAGCAAAAACTCAAAAACATGGCGCAAAGCGCGTAGTACCGTTTCAATGTTCCCGGCCAAAACGCGCACAGTAATATGTACACGAATAAGGGCCTAAATGAGTAGGCAGAAGGGATTGTTAGTTTTAACATCACTCAGTTTACACGGGGTGTGGTTGGTCGTTCTATTATGACAGCGAAATTAAACGGAAACTATATATTCTTAGATTTTAACCACAGCCTAGTCGAGGTGTAATTGGTCGTTCCATTATGGCAACGAAATTAATGCGACATTTAGCTAAAAAAAAAAAGGGGTGTTTACAATTTGACGTATTGTTGATGGGTGCAATTGGACTTTCCATTATCTGATTACAGAATTTAATTAGACTTTAACTAATATAGTATTTGTAAAAAGTGTATGACATATTATATTTATTTATTTTTAAAAAAAAAACACTTCTACGTGAAATTTGTCATTTACATGTCATCCACTTAAATAGCGAAATTAAAGCTGTTAACTTTATATAAGATTTGAAGCCAAAATTAGCTCATTTAGCTCTTACATAATGTATGTTTAACCAAGCAACATCAACTTAATAATTCCAAATGGAAATTTGATCGTTACAAATAATGCACCAACAATTAACGATACACCTATATGAATTTAAAGCTTAAGACCAGTGGTTGTTAATCAGGGTGTGAAGATACTGTACTTACAAGCTGCCCTGCTTAATTTATTTATTTCATCTGATCTGTAAGCCACTGCTCTAGGATGGTTTTCGGATAAAATGATTTCTTTATAGCCCAGTGCTTTGCGTAGTCCCGGCTTTATTAACCCATTTGATGCAGAAAGTAGGATGAAAAACCCAAATTTCATTTCATTTTATCAATTCGAATTTTCAGTCACTAGATTTTATTTCTAGATATAGGCCCTACATCTAATTCAGATTAATATTTAATTTTTCTTATTAATAAAAAGTATATAAAAGATATTTTATTTCCCTTGTAAAGATTGGCGTTTTATGGTTTACGCAGGCCTTTGCAAAAAGGTATTCCTATTTGAAATGATAATACAAGAGCAAATAATATTAAACTTTTTTAATATGAAAGATTAAAGACGTACATATTAAGAAACCTCATCTTATAGTTTATAAAGCTTATATTTTTATTTATACGATAACCGGATGGACATTTTGAATAGTATCAGTGATGTCGAAATAACATCACCTTATTTTTAAACAATATTTTATACAGATTTGTATC